GTTGACCTCATTGCTCAAACCAATGTCGTGGTTCAACCCGCCATTTGCTTTGTCAAAAGTCTGCAGCTCTGGCTCCCAACTCGACTCCACCAGACAGAGGTTCATTTCCCTAACGAAGAAGCAAATCCTGGGTCTAATTCGCACGAGAAGGCAGGGATGCAAAGAATGTTCACATTTCGTGCGCAAGAACCCCACTGGAGCAAAGGAGCCCGCTCTAATCTTAAACCAGGGATTGGTTAATGAACCTCAAATTGGTCAAAGTCCCCCGCTAACCCCCCCCCCCCCCGCACACACAAAAAACACAAACATCAAAACCAAAACCAAAAACAAACCAAAAACACTCAGTCTAAAACAAAAGAAGCATAGGGCGGGTTTTCAACCCGCCGTAGGCACCCTTGAATTGGAGTCTTTACGGGCCCGCCTTCTCGCTCTGGGCAACCCAGGTGTAGGGGCTTTTCGCCCGGCTGAGGAGTAGCTGCGCCTGAACGGGAACTACACCGACCCGACGGAGAATTTTATTTGCACCAATTGAGGTGGAGTCTTGGGATCTAGTGATGCTCTTCCTTTGGACTTGTTTTTTGGATTCCCTGTTTGTACCACAGATGTATGTGCACCAATTTGAGCCACCGTCAAAACCGATCGCTATGAAAATGGTCGACCCCCAGAACCATGTAAAGAATTGCCAAGGATATCCGCACCCATGTTTGACTGGGATTGTCCCTCAAAACCTTCCATGTATTTGGGTTTTTCGATTGTGCGAATTGGCTGTGGCTTTACAAAGATGGAATCCCCAAAATGGCACCGAGCAGTAAATGGAACCAAAGACTAAGACCTGCGGTTGGCCCTAGGTCCTCTTATTTTGAGCCACACCCGGCTTGGGATGATCCCATGACTGGGACAAGCGACTGACCAACTGCCGCAAAAAATGTATCTATCCACAGTGTTGGTTCTCAATCTCTTTGATGAAACACAAAAAAAAAAAAACGATTGCATGTATTGGCTCTTCTCCTCTGTTTGGCGCGAAGCAAGTTGATGACGCTGTGCAATCCGGTCCAGCATGATGTCAAACCCAAAAGGGAAATCCACGCAGACTTCAAATTCTGCGCAACAGATCTTCGGCCTGCCAAAGACACCAGAAAAGCAAACCGACCATGGCGCCACATCGCTCGCAGTGCTCGGTCTATCTCAAAGACCAACTGGAGTCACGTGCCCTGTCACCGACATTAGATTTTGAGAGGTTTCTGCCGGCCTCTAACTTCAGAATCCCAGTACTGAAGCAGTGGGACCCCATGCTTGCCTCACACCCGATTTTAGGGATCATGACCTGTTTGAAGTAGTTTGTGGAGAAACTTATGCTTCACCAAGGTCAATGGCAAAACAACAAATCGAACAGCAACCAAGTCCATAAAAGTGTGGCTTCAAAACACGGGCGTACAAAACAACATGTTGTCCCGAATCGTGAATGTATGCAAGTATGGATCTTAAATCAATTGGATTCATTGTGCTTGGAAGACTTTGCTTCCCTTTCAGCTGAAGCTGCGGACGCAAAACAGCAGTGTTCACCAGTCAAACGCTTCCCGAGGTTTGGACCACCCAATGGTAGGTTGAAGGTTCGGCCTTCGGCTGCTTGAAGGAACAAACCTCTTCCGCGGCCAAGCTGCGTCGGCGAATAGTTGGACTCAGGGATTCAGCGTGCAGCACTTGATAAAATGACTGCTGAAAGTTGACGCAGAAGGTCAGTACTTCAAGGGTTGCATCAGATGTCCCACCAGCAAGGCAACAACTTCCCAACATGTTCGTTCTATGATGCTTACTTTGTTGGCCTGGAGCAAGGATTCTCCTAAAGAAGCACTTTCTTCAGCAGTTCCGAGTTCGAGACCTGCAATCCCTGACTCTCTTGATGCCGCTCGGAATGCGCTTGGGGAATTCGGTCAACACTCTCTCGCCTCGAGCCCAAAAACGTACACAACACCCGCATTTAGCAGGATCTTCCATAAAGTTACAAAAGGTGTGCCACCACTTTTCTTGACGTGGTAACTCAATTTGCCCAATCCCTTCCTTAAACTTACTCTCTGACCCACACTTCACATCTCACATCCCGACAATGCTGAGAAAACGCGGTGTGAAGAATTCCATTCTCCGAAACATTTCTGAACATTAGGTGTCCTTTTGGACAAAATCGATGGTTCCGGTGGATGGAACAAGCCCATCTAAACCGAACCCATCTATTTCTGACCAAACTCAGCTAAAAAGGCCACCTATGTCTCTGCACCAATTGCTGGACACTAAGCCTTGCCCCAAACCTCTGCACATGATATGCTCAGATGTGGTTTGATATTTAGTCAACCTTAAAAACCAACATGCACATACAACACTGGTACAATGAATCTTCAAGTAGAATCTTTTCTTAGGAGACCTCCAATGATATGATTGGATCGACATGGACACAGACCAAAAGCGCCAGGTCTCAGGATTCCACATACGGCTTCAGGTCGCAAAGGCTCGCACATGCCGTTGTGGTTGTTCCCACTTGCTGAAGAGACCTGAATACAACAGGATATCACCTTTTCTGTTGCCCTGACAAAGACCTTTGACCGGGAGAAGTCCAGTTTGGAAAAACTAGTTTTGATTCCTGAGCTTTTTCCGTCTGCTATGTCGACTTTGGCGGCGGGGCGTGACTTGGCTCAATGCCCCGCGCTAACTGCTGCGCGGGTTTTTCATCGGGTCTCAGTCTCCTGTTCTCCGAGTGACTTCACCAGCGTGTTGGCCGCAACACACACAACAAATGGACAAACAGTTGGCGTGCAGACATGGTTAAGTCGCTTGCTTTGTCTCTCATCGCAACAAATTGCAGTCTCAGAGAAACATGTTCAACCCTTCACGATCCTCGGTCTGTCTTTCCTGCGCACCCTATGAAAATCCGGCCACACTCGTAGTGCCGAGATCTTCTCCCACGAAAAAAAAAAAGGCTCCCGCGCGGAGCCGCCGGTGAGAAAGATGCGCTGCAAATCACCGGATTGGATTGCACTAGCAACCACTGGTCCAAATGCAAGTGTCGTCTGATTTCAGGTGTGGGGAAGTCATGGGAAAAACCAAGGCACCTCTTGACGTCGCGAACCAGACCAAAAACCAAAGCAAAAACAAAGGTGCCAACGGAAGACTATAGGCACAACAATTGCAGTAGGCACTTGGCTTGACATGTTCTGAACAGAAAGCCAAGACAAGACAACCATTCACTCCGGCCACCAGTATTGAGGGTCAACGCTCCTTGGGTTGTGTTCATGGTTCTCTGTCTCTTCATGAAAATATGTTCCTTGTAACAACAAAGGAAACATGTGTTTTTGTTGGGAGGGCCCGTTCTTGCGGGTACATCACTCCCCTTACATTAATTGGGTAATGAACATCTTGCAACAGTTGGCTAAAAGTAATTGAAGGGCTGATGACCAGCCTATCCATCTCCAAAGCAGACTTGTTAACCACATATCTGGGGCACTGCCCAATGCATGCGGCGAGATACGGCTCTTTGGATATGGCGCCGAGATACGCAGGGGCCGGGCATCAGCTTCTTCCCGCCAACTTGCAACAGGCCCGCCCATGAATTGTCCGTTTTAGACATCACCCCGCCAAAAGGAAATCGCATGACAATGACAAACGCGCAAAATTAGATTAGAGGCCTGATGGTGCAAACATATTGAGACATATTTAACATGATAAGTAGGCGCCATAGAGGAAAAACAACTGCAATTGACACCAAAAATCCCCATGTAAAGGACCCACATCATGGTAAGCTCGTTTTGCCCCGGTGAGGGTTAACCTAAAAATGGCAAATTCATCTTGCTCACTTACACATGGCATCCGAATCCATGATCTGCAGCCTGTGGGCTCTCCCGGGCTTTCGCTGTACAGGTTTCAAACCGTGCGCCCGGATTTCAAACGTGTAACTCCATTTAAGCGAAGGCCTCGGCAAACGGCAGGCTCAGGGGGGGGGGCTTGTCGCCTGTAAACTGATACGTTGTGTTACACATGGGTATGACTCTGAATTGGTGTCTTCGTAGGACATCATGTGACTTCCCACTACATCCCTTTATCCAGCTAAGTACCGGGATGGCTAAACCGAAATGGATGAGTGCCATCTGGATTCACCCTTTTGCTGTGCACTATGAATCTGAAAGTTTATTTCCCATGGGCAGTCAAGGCATGCTGCTTGCAAGCTTCCGCTGAGGCCTCGATCATCCCAAAAGCCACGGACCTCCAACACACTTTGGGGGGGCTGTCCCTGGATCAGCCTTGGGTAGCCCGTTTTTCCCTATACCCCTCTGTTACACATGTCTCCCTTTGAGCTGCCAAAAGAGAAGCCCTTTCTTCTAGGACAAAAAACACGTAAATTTCAAGCTGAAATAAGGGAGCTCCCAAGACAGGAACCTTCACCATGTGTAATGTTGGCAATCCTCGGCGTGAGACTGCCAGCATTTGCCAGGTACATTTCTTCCCTTGTACCCGCACAGCAAAAGTGCACACATCCAGTCGGATGAGTTCCTTTCTGGGGGAAGGTGCAGGAGCATAGGTGTCCTTTTAGGGGAAATGGATGGCCCTGGTAGATAAACCAGGGCCAGCTATGTTTCTACCAACGCAACCAAAAAGGACACCTACGTGTAGGAGTGTGTCCTGTGTCCATCTCCGGCGCCCTTATTTCTCAAGACGCAGGTGTCCTACAAACAAGAAGCGCATGCTTTTTGGAGTCCACCTCCAACACCACGATCATCGCATGTGAAACGCAACCCTAATTTTAATATATAAGCTTATAAACATGACAAGACACAAATAAGACAGGAATATTAAAAAGACACACCATGGATAACAGAGTAGAATAAATATGGTACTAACATAATTGTAGTTTAAACGAAAAGATGCATCAACTGGACTCACTAGCTCTCTTTCCTATCATTCGCATTCCCATCTAAGAATTTATGCTCTTGAAGGCAGTTCTATTTCCGTGACTATGTCCGCTGGATGGTCCGCTGCTTTCCTCTGTCATTTCTTCCCTTTCATATCCTCACCTAAATCTGAGACTTTTGGATGGGTGAGGAAGGGAAAGGGAATCAACAGATAGACAAGAAGAGAGGGTCACCATTCAAAATCTTTCAATTGATCCGGATGCATCCACCATTCCTTCCTTGCCTTTCACCACCTATTAACCGTTGACCTGGACATCCTCTAACCAAGACATGCAAATGAAAACGAGATAAAGACAAGCAGAGAAAAATGAAATGACACAGAGATTTAAGGGAGGCATTCTCACAAACACAACTTACCACGTTTCCCGCGATTCCCCGGATTATTTGTCACCTTTAGGATCTTCGCCATCAATGGTAGAAAGGAGAGAGATAATATTCTCGTCCCTTAATTTCTTCTCCATTATCAAATGGTTTTCGTCTAATGCAAATGACAGGAGATGAGGGACGACAATAAGGTGTAAAGGAAAGGATATATAGTACTTGTACTGCATGATGAAAGTGACGAGGAAAGCGAGAGCATGCGGACGGGAGATCCACTACTTGACATCTCTTTCTCCTCTCTCATCCATCGACACATAGAAAGAGACCCGTCCAACCATCGCCTTCATATCCCTTCCTTTCTCTACTGTAGCTCATGGCATCTGGGATTGACGGCCTTCCTCCGTTGCTTCTTCTCCATCACCAGTTTGTAAATGAGAATATGAAAGTAAATAGTTGATGGGATGAAGAGAGAATGGAATGGAAGGCATCTTGTCCACGCTCCCCTCTCCACCATCTGTCAGCTCTTGGAATCGCATGCCAGGTACACAAACGCGGAGAGAGAGAGAGAGAGAGAGAGAGAGAAAGAGAGAGAGTATGCGAGAGGAAGAGCCAGCCCTTCACCTATCTCTCTTGTCTGCAGCACGTCCGACGTGAAAAAAAAAAGAGAGGTAGAGGAAAGAGATAAGACTCCTTCGGAAATAGAATTTGTACGGTGAGTAGGAACTAGCACACCAGCCAAAACCATTGGCTCCCCCATCCAAATCTGAAATCCACCGTAAAACGGATCCACTGGCTCCGCTTTTCAAGACTCGGGGCATGCGGAACATCGACTGCAGGAGAACCAGAAGGCCAAGTCAAGCCGGTGGCAAATACGAGCAACTAGTCGTGTGTGGCTTTGTTTCACCCCCCTGAGAGGCTCCCTTTGGCAAATAGGAAACACTCGGGTCAGTGAGTGCCAAGCCAATCTTCTGTCTTTGTTCTGCCAGGCGTTTCTGACACGCGTGACCAGAATCAATTATCATCCTCCATTTGCTTAAGTCTCCTGCCTATTTCCAGTAGTGACAAATTCCTTTTTAAAGCCGACAGGGGCAAAAAAGACACATTGTCAACCAAATGGAAGCCACGAAACACCGGGCATAATGGCCAACTTAGGGCAAAGGGAGTTTAATGGGATTATGATTTGCCTTTTCGCCCCCTCAGGAAATTAATATCTTAGCAATAAATCCACCCCCACTACATATGTCATTTCAGGCCAAATCCTTGAAGACATCCTCTCCCCTTTTACTGTTCATGCACCCAATACTCAATACCAAATTCCGGACAGCACTTCTTAGGAGGTACGTTCCGCACGTTCCTTATCTTAATTGCAAACTTGGAATGCGAATTTCGCTTTTAAAACTTGAACTGACAAATCCGAACCAGTTCCTTGAGCAATTCCATAGGTTCCTCCCCTGCCAGATTACGTTGTTGACGGCTGTTCCGCCCGGCAAAGGGACGGGATTCCCATTCGGACTACGATTGTTGTGGGGACCCTATTAATGATTGTGGTTTCCGGAACATTCATACATTATATATATATATTATGATTTTATTTGACTGCGGGCGGGGGGGGGGGGAGCGGGGAAGAGGGATTTGGCTGGGTGAAGCGATTCAGAAAAGCCGCAAAGTCGGATCAAGACGCATCGACGAAGCGTGCCAGGTCGCATGGACCGCGAAGGCCAGCAAAGAAGTGGTAAGGAACGCTGCCGCCTGAGCCGTTGCTGGAAAACACCAGAGTTCGGCACCGTTCAGAAATCGAAATATGCCTAAAAGCGGGTATACACTTAAGACATATGCAAGCTTATGTGTTTTTTTTGTGTATGGGTCAAAATTAAACCACCAGGAATTGGACCGCAGGTGTTAGTCCATGTTACAATTTTGGGTACCTATTTTTGACCCACAGCCACATGGGTCTGAAATAGTAGGGAAAACCCCGAGCACACAAGACGAAATGCCCCCCCGAGAAAGAAAAACACCGACATGGGTCTGTCTCAAAGTGGGAACTCACTTTGGACTGAAGAACTCAAAAGGAAGCCAACTGCCAGGGATTTGGTCCCCCATGTTGAGAATCATTCTGTGTGTTGCTCTCAGACTGGCCCAAAAGCGCAGCTGTTGAACCCACCATTCAAAATCTTGAGAATGCGCTGTTCAACACAAGGCAAGTAGCAAGTAAACTACAAAAACATCCAACAATTGGAAATTAAGGCTGTCGTAGTAGAAACAAACCAACAGCGAGCTATGAGCTGGCTTTGTCCCCAGACGAGCTCGTCAGAATTCCCCTGTAAGAACGACAGTGAGTTCCCGACCCTTATGTACAGTCATGTACTCGAGACAGCTGAGCTGCAACCCCGGGCGAGGTACTTTAGGGACCAAAAGGTGACGTTCAAAAGCCACGGCAAACATAGAGAACCCTGGAAACATAAATGAAAGGTCAACAACTTTTCTGATTCGTCTTTTTAGTAGGGTCCCGAACCCTCCCAAGGGCACCTAGCCGGGGGACTGAGCTAAGGTTCCCAACATTATTCCCGTCGGTGGCTTGCAGTACCTCCAAGCCACCTTTCAGCAAAAACGGGGCAGGTACGCGCCCAGTGTGTCAGTGGCCCTTTTTGGTTTTTTGTGTCCCATCCTGGGGCCCCTGGAAAAAGGTGGTGGCTTGGAGGTAGTGGAAACCCATAACATGTGGGCGTCTTTCTTCAGGTTGGACCCAAATTGGCGGTTCTCCTTGGGTTGTCCTTGAAAATCACCAACACAGGGGGTACCAACTCAAAAGACAAGCTCAAAAAAAATGAGTTTCGTTCCCCAACTGAAATCAGGGGATCTGAGAGGAGGGACTATACTGTGGCTGGACGAATTCCATTTCGCGCCACCTAAGAAACCCTGGTTTCTGATTCGATGCCGCAACGTCAATAGTAAATACCAGCAAAAGTTAGAATTTCACCCATGGTTTCAAAGCGTCCATCCACAGTAGTGAGCTCGTAGCCCTAAACAAGGGGTAGCCCCAAAGGGCTACCCTCACCCTGAGCTCTTGGTTTGGGTCCAAGGGGCAGTGGCCGCAGAGGCGGCCGTGGGCATGGTCGTGGTGACGCTGGGCTGGATCCCCGGAAGCTGCGAGACCTCATCGGTGAAGACCTGGAACGGCTCACCAAATGTCTATGGTTGCCACTAGTCCCAGGGTAAACTGAAGTACCTAGAGTCTCCATGACCCTTTGAAAATGGGGTGATGACCCCTTTCGTTTGGGTAATGACCCCATTTTTAAAGGGTCATGGAGACTCTAGGTAGAGTTACAAGGGTATGGATCAAAATTGAACGACCAGGAATTGGACCGCAGACTTTAGTCCTTGTTTCCATCTACCAGCGTTCCATTTGGGGTACCTAGTTGTGACCCACACCCACAACTAACCCCAGGGTAAACTGGAGTAGATACCCTTTATGTAGTATATGATAGCTGTATCTCCCAAACCCGCTGGTAGTGGTTGGGGGTAGTGGAAACCATCTTAGTGAATATAGGTAGTCGTTCGGTGCAAGAGAGGACATGGGTGGCTTGTCTTTTGAGGATACCCTTTGTTGGTGGTTTTAAAGGAATTATAAAAGGAAACCCACTTCTCTTTCTCTTGGGAGGGGTCCCCTAAGAGAAAGACACACCCAGACACACCCACATGACGGGAATGCACTGCCGAATTTTATTTTCTTTGTGTGTGTGTTCGTCCTAGAAGTGATCCCCCCAAGCTTACCAGAGCTTTCTGATCGCAGGGGCCCCATTAAGCCAGAAAGGCAAGTGCAGCGACCGCGGGTTTCAGCATCAACTCAGCCATTGTCTCGTTGAGGGTACACTTCTGCGGGTTGTTTAAAAGGGAAACAAAAGAACCACAAACCCTCCTGGCACTTCTGTAGGCCCCACCCGCAACGGTTTTGCTCCATGGATTCGTCAAGTCTGGCTGCAAATCCACAAAGCCAAATCTGGGCATGCCAGGAAAAAACCCAGCAACTCCCATTTAAAAAGCACATGTCTTGGCGTTCTTTAGCCCTCGGACTCCTCCTCCCACCCAATTTGTTTAAGCCGTAGTATATGGCTGTGGCTCCAAGGAGTGGTACCGTTTTTGGGCCCCTTGGAGGGAAACGAAGACTAAAGCCTGCGGCACCCGGCCCTTTCATTTTGATCCTTCGCAGCAAAAGCTCCACGCGCACACCTCTCGACGTTTCTTCGCCGCGAGTCGGAAGGCGACGCGGCACTCGGCCTGCGTGCTGAAACTCGAGAGCAGCTCTCCGCGAGCCTCGGGCTTGTAGTACTCCTTGGAATCAGGAGAGCATCCGGATCCGGTTGGCATGTGAAACCCCAACACAAGATGCACCCGGATCCGGTTGTAAAACTTTTTTTTACATGGCAAAAGGGAATCAGCCATTTTTGGTTGTAGGGTTGAGACTAAACTAGGTACGTTCAAAAGACCCCGTTTAGGCGTGTGTCAAACTAGGGGGTCGCAAAAGGAGGATTGTCATTGAACAGCCCAAACTGTCTAAACAATATAGTGGCCTCCTGTTGAAATTAGGTGAAAAGCGTTCCCTCAACACAGGCACACACCAAATGCCACACGAGGTCCATTAAGGATGCCGGATGAACAGAAGGAACCCAAACACACCACACACACACACAACCCCAGAAATTCTTAGGGGCATCTGAGATGTGTCATGAGCCTATAAATAACAATCATCGAGATTGTTGGCAAATGCCGGCAACTGCAAACCCGAGCTCGAGCTGACTGTTAGTTCTACGTGTACCAAGGACATGAAACATGTCAATGTTTACATGAGGGTGTGATTTGAGTGAAGCCTTTTTGTTGGGTGTTGAACCACCATTTCCGCTATTTCGACACCTACTCACATTTAGATTCAGGCGCTTCTCGGGTCCGGTTCGGGTCTCCGAATGGAACACGGTGGCCTGGCTGCAAATTCGATCGATGGAGCCTCTGATTGTTTGTTTGGTCTGTGTTTTGTGTTTTTGTTGGGTGGGGATGACCATGCTCCCTCATGTCTGGAAGAATTTGAACCGCCGAATGGTCCCTGCCAAATTCAAAACGGCTCGCCGGCTCATAGAAATGCCTCAGGAATGCAACGAGTTGGGCCACATCCCCTCCCCTGAAGGTGCAGATTCTGCGAATATGCTTATTCCTACATGCCAGGAAAACCAGAGGGAGACCATGGTAGAACCCTGCACTGTACCAGGGTTCGCCTCTCAGCAATACCGCCTCAAGAACGAATCGTTTGACGCCAGCAGGATGGGGCCTGGCCTCCCTCGCTGTAGATCGTTCTGCCGGCTTGCGCGTTTGACATGCTGATGCCGCGAGCACGGTCGTATCGTGCTCAAAAGACTCAAATCGAAGGCAGAACCGCCTGCTCAACCTAGGAACCCAGAATGGCATGCGCCCTCAAACACCTCCCATTCAACCCGATCAAAGCTTTGTTCCCGGGAAAACAACACGTGAAGAACCCCCGGCCAATTTTCTCGTGATCATCCTTTGGCTTGTTTTAGACCCTCCCACCCCCGGCCCATTGTGCTGGAGCATCGTACACCATGGATGCCGCCGGCTGCACGTTCCACACCCTGAACCTGGGCAAGGCTAACCAAGCGGAAGCCAGCGCCATAGGGCTGTGGCTCAAAATTACGCAGGAGGGGCCAACCGCAGGTTTTGGTCCATGTTTCCACTTCCCAGGGTTCCAGTTTGGTACCGGTTTTTTGAGCCACAGCCATTGGCCATAGTGACAATCACAGCCGGGGTGGTCTCCTGCCTGTGCTCCATGTATTCAATCGGGCAATCTAACAAACCTCGGCAAAAGCTCATGGTTACACAAAGAGGCTAGATATCCCAACAGCGGAACCCTCGCTGAAAGCTGCTCCAAACGCTTTCCAGCCGTGGAATCAAAACAAAGCCCGGGTCTTGCTGAAAGCATCTCTGAAAAAAAGCGCTCTCGTGGGTGCGCTAGATATATGTGCTAGGAATGGACCAACCCACCTAAAGGCAACCACATATTCTCGCTGGCTGAGTGGATGGCCCAAAAAAAGTTCAAACTTTATATTTCCCACTAAAATGGTCTTCCCAAAAAGTTGAAAGTTCATGAACTCAGGAAGTGAGTATTGGGTATGTACAAGTCCGTTTCCGATTATTTGAAATGCTAACCCGCCTGGATTCCAATGGCAAACCCAGCCCGAAGCCCTATGAACCACAGTCCCCTGTGGTTCCTCTCTTGGCCATCTGCACGCCAACATCAAGCAAAACATCAGCCACAAATTTAGTGCAGCTGCGGAACGTTGTGCCAAACTTGCATCCCAAAGCTGGCATTTGTTTTTGCGCCATGACTAGACATTCGGGTTCTCCCGAATTGTCCCCAAGATATTGTGTTCAAGCTCCAAGTGTTCAATTTGCATACCTTGGGAAGTGGCATGCCATGGCTCGGAAACCATAGATACTTGTAAATGACTGATGACGATGCTTAGCCACAAGCAAGTGCTCCTCTACAAATTACCATGGAACCCGTAAAGAACAATCAAGAACGTAATTTTTAGAGGAAGCTCCTTTTGGGAATCAGACCCCCGTTTTGGGCTCGTTCCGTTCATTTGCAAGGGATTCAGCGTCTGAAACCATGGCACACCTGTCGAAAGGTTTCGTTTAGGTCTCCCGTTTGATTTTGAGGCCTGTGGCCCAAGTGTCAGCCGAGCATTTGGTCTTAAGACACTCGACTTGGAGCTTTATCTTAGTGCTAGAATAACTCAACTGACCCAAGTGACCTGTTTCTTGCCGTCGTGGCCCCGCTTGTCTTTTGTCAAGGCCAAGTGCCGAATGACTAGGACAGTTTCCTAGTCAGCTTGCGTTGACGTTTTGAATGAGCCAGCCGTATCCATGCAATCTGCTGGACCGCTAAGGCTTGATCCCCCATTCTGCTCACCACGCAGTGTTCAACTTTCTGAAAAGGAACCAACTGCTAGTGCGGACCAACCAAGAAGCAAAACGCCAGCGTCCGACAACCAGCAAATTACAGATTGAAGCAACATGCTGGCCAGCATGAACGCGCACACGCGCACACACACACACAGATACAAACGATACAATCACAATCTGCACAATATGTGCGCTCAACACGCAGGCAGGCACAGCGGCAACTGCTTGGGCTGGAGTTAATTCAATGACGATCAATTCATCGCGCACACACACACAAACACATAACAGACGTGCGAGTGTTGGTGGACAAAAGATCCATATTCGAGTTGTTCGTCGGTGTGAAGTGGAGGCTTCAGTGGTTGGAGGATGTGGGAGGATTATGTGACACGACAGAACTTAATTACAAGTAGCAAACAAAACCTGCGACCAGCTCGCCTGTCTTGCCAAGCAACTCACGGGTAATGTTGAACTGCACACAGGTCTTCGAAGACTCGTGCAGCTCCTATTCCACCCCGCGTCGATGAACGCATGGAATGCCAAGAATGCACGTCGCGTTCCTGATAATTTCACGATTGACGCATGACATCGTACACCAACGAAAAGTGGGGGCTGGGTAGCGATGGGATGGCCATGGCAAGACTTGGCTGCTACCTTGACTCTCCAACTGAATACGCCCAGGATAAGCCAGACATAAGCCCTTAGTCAGCCCTTATGGGGTTAACCATGGAGAGCCCCCAGCTTTTTGGGGGTCTACGACACCCTCTCTAAACAAACAAGACGTCGAGTCCTCAAGGTACAAGTCTACCCGCTGGTCGTTCAGCTCAAAGCCTGGCTCGGGCTCGGGGGTTCGGAGGTGCGCTTTCGTCCGTATGTCAGAAGCACAACGTGTATGGGGGGTTTTATATGTATATATATATATATAAACATTGTGTGTGTGTGTGTGTCTTTGTATTGGGAGGGGGTCTTAGCATATATATATATAAAGCAAAACACAAACACATGCATATGCCATTTCCCTGTAGAGGTCCTCCAAAGGTAACCTATAGGTATTCCCTCCACCACCTTCTGCTAGGATTCTGCCCAAAACAAGGAACCACCTTTAGAGTAGGCAACCCACTTACGGGAACCACTCTTTAAAAACCAAGAACATGGTTGGTGTCCTACTGTGGCAACGGGGATCCAGGAATGTGACGGGTTGGCAATCACGAGTGAGACCAACATACTTTGGCAATAAAGATAATTACCTAGCTGGGAAAGCGAACACGTCCAATCAAGACTTCGGAATACAAAATGAACCCGTTCCGGGATGAAGTGCATTGTTTTTGGAATGCACAGTGGACTAGTTGTTGGGCCAACGATGGATGTCCATGATGACACTACAGTCAAGAGACCACTGAGATTTCAACAATATCGAACGTTCTGCTGTCAGAAGTGCATCACACACACACATGCAAACACACACACACACACATACACACTCTTTCCTTCTCAAAGAGCTCGTGCCTTTCATCTTTGCAACATGTCCACGACAACGCAACCTTTTTGGTGCATGTTTCTTTGAAACCCAAAGAAAGCAGGATTCCTTATCTTGGCCAAACTGAGTCCCCCTACCAAAAGTAAACTTGTTGAGGGGTTGAAAGGGAACATGAAGAACACTCACAAGTTGAAAGTCGAATTTGATTGCACCAAGCGGATAACGCTCACAAAGCCCAATCATTACCAGCCCATCTACTGTAACGTATGTGTGGATATGCGAAAGCATGCTCATCACATTGTTTCAAAACCAATGGTACCATTTTGGGGGTAGGTGCACCACCCATTCTAGTCTATTTTACTGGGGATTGGGATGTTCACTGGGGGTACGATTTGGATTTGTTACCCATGGCCACAAGGTGAAAGTCAAAAAGCTAATTTTAGAACTGTCACTTTGGACCCAACCGCATCGCCAAGAAGCGTTTGATCACCTCAGCATCCTTCAGCGCTTGCAAGGACTGCAGTGAGGCCCCGTAGCCGGTAAAGAGGCCCACCTCAGCCATGGGACGTGTCAGGGAAAAAGGCGGCAGAGGGGAGAAAATAATAATAATAATAATAATAATAATAATAATAATAATAATAATAATAAACCAGCTGAAAAGGACATGGATGTTCAAAGTTGTTCATCAAAAACCTTAAACAAGCTGAGGTTTAATTGGTTTAGGGTTTACCCTGTGTTTAAAGCTACAAAGTCAGTCGTTCATGAAGAACATTAGATGCCTTAGGTGTAGATTTCACCTGGGTTGATTCTTTAGCTGCCCTTGCCAGCGATCAGAGACACAAAGCAAAAGCACAGACGCCGCTCTGGGGCTTCAATTGCGGCTCAATTCGGGCTTATCGTAAGGATCCTGATCTGAGTGAAAAGGGGATGCGGAACCAGCTTCAATCCCAACTTTTTAGTGGACAAAATCCCCTTCACACCCAACACGGTATGGGTGATCACTCCAACCCCTCCAAGCCGGCTGGTTGATTCTGGGCGCCAGTGGAGAGGGGACGCTTCACTCATGGAAAAAATCGCCCCCTATTGCCGCCAGCTTGATTACTCGGGGGTAAACATCAATCTGCAGGTACCGTACCATCCTCCAATCATGGAAGCTGACACTCAGGCTACTGGGGAAGTCGCAAGAGAACCCACTTCCATTGGACAGTGAGTTGCTCCTTTCCCGAGCAAAAGGTCAACCTTTGGTCTGATGTTGAAAAGCATGTGTTTCCAGAAGGTCTTTCTGGGGCAAAAGAGGCTAAGGTCACACCAAAAACCAGCCATGGAAAGTGGGCTAGGTCCTCCAGTATGGAGTTTAAAATCAGGGTTCCCTTTTTCCCGTAGTCTATTTTAGCAGGGGAACCCTCCCCCAAAAAAGTTGGTACAAGGGCACTACTGGGGGACCTAGGGGGTGCAACTTCCTGGTTGCTCAGACCATTTCTTCGCTTGGGCACGCTAATGATGGCCATCGCGCCCGCGCTAGGCGCGCAGTCGGACACGGGCAAGCCTCGGCTTCCGTGCGTTCTGCACATATCAGGTGGGTGAGCGTTGTGACCTCCGCTTTTTGGACAAAGGAGCCACATGGGTCAAATTAAACCACCAGGGGACCGCAGGTCGTTGTCCACGTTTCCATTTACCAGGGTTGCAGTTTGGGTACATATTCTTGACCCACAGCCACGTACAAAGGGCTTATATACTTTCAAGGGGCCTATATATTGAGGGGTGCATCAGTCTAACAGGGCGGTCAAGGGCCGGACTTGCCTGGAATGCGAAAGTGGGTCCGTCCCTTTGCGAAGGCTGCCAAGTGATGTATGTAGTCCCGCCCAGCAACATAGAACCTAACTGCAGGTCGAGGAATCATCTGGGGACATCCTATTGCATTCCATGTTGGTGGGAGGAATCGCAATGACTGGAGCTGGACCATACTAGAAACTGTTATACTTATAGTGTGTTGCACGCGAGCTTTTCAGCAATATCTAAAAGAGTCCTAAGGCCTAACATCATGAAGTCAAGTCTCAAGGCAAAACAAGCTACCTTGAGGGATCCCTTGCCTCGAGACAAACCCATAGCGTTTGCACAAACAACTGACTAAAGAAAGCTTATATCTCAGCCTAAACTGCGAATTCCTCAGCAAGCGATTTGTAAAGCCATCCTTGTGAGGAGCACGACTTCTACTCGAGCTCAGTCAAAAGACTATGCAAATGGAGCGAAGTCGTAAGAGTCAAAGCAGCAAGGTTTCCACAAGGGGCGGAAACAAAGCACGCGTAATATCGTGACTTGATTTCACCCTGGTTCCTTACTGATTGTGTGGAGTTGCTCAGGCTTTCTGCCCCTTGCTCAAAGGACCGTTAGGAGCCTCTCTTTCGGGTCGCTGACACAGGCCGCCCAAAAAGAATGGCAATGGCTTCACTTTCCTCTCTCTTTCAAATTGTAAACTAGGTCCTCCAGTAGAGAGGTTAGAATAAGGGTACCCTTTTTGTTGTGGTCTATTTGAGTAGGGGAACCCTCCCCAAAAAAGGGTAAAAGGGCACTACTGGGGGACCTAGTAAAACAGGAATAAAGTGAGAAGCGGAGGAACTTATCCACTGCGCCTCCACTTTGTGAAAATACTAGCAACATGCCGGGGTTCAGTCTCCTCAAACCTCGTCCTCCCAAAAACTCGTCCTGCGCAAGTTCACCATAGACTGCCGGCTGTGTCAAGTCCGCTGCTATCAACTGGGACTATCCTCAAACTAAGGGGGTTGGAGAACCCCCACGTCAACGACAACATGGAACCCCAAAAAAGGTGTCCCCAAAATGCAGTTTCCTGTAAGAAATGGTGGCGTTTTGGGTTCCAGGATAATTTCCAAGGGGAGTACCCTCCCTCCAACTAGCATGGCACCTCACAGAGTGTCCCTTCAGGAGCAATTTGATCTTTCAGGTACCCTCCAACAGGTGCTATGTTAGTGGGAGAGAGGGTAAGCTTTCTGATGCCTCAGCTTTGCAGGGATCGCAGGTTCTTCTGCCTTTGGCTTCTCCGCCAAGCTGCTGCAGGCTTGCACTGCAGAGCTGGTCTCCTGGTCCTGGCTGAACCAGTCCACCTGCGACGCATCACTCGGGGGGTTTGGGCGGGGGGCCTGGGGGGCTCTCTCGTTTTGGGGCTGGTTTAATGGGAAACCACAAGGAAACCACACTTCTGGGGCTCCTGATGTGCCTCAAATGAACCATACGCGGCCAGTCACTTGTTTCGAATGCAGGTTTCTACAAGCATAACTTTTGTGAAGCGACACATGGTAAAACCTTTTCTGGGTCCCGAAAGGGCACGTGCGGCCTAAATGTTGGCAACCTTCACTTGGGCCTGCCTCAAAATTACGACACTCCCCGATTTGGCAAGGGATTCCTTTTGGTGCTTGTTGAACACTAATCGGCACAAGGTTCAAAAAAGGGTCCCCCCGACGAAAAAAAGAAGCGCACAGTTAGGCACTTCACCATGATTCAGAGCCGCATTCAAGGGATGCCCCACAAAGGAAATCTGCTTCATGGGCGATCTCGTTTACCACACTCGCCCTGCCTCGATCTGGTAGCAAGGCGGCACCGCCTGAATGACATTTTGCCAAGGGACCCAAAGGAGCTCGGCTTGCCTAGTGGTGGGCAACCCGAGGAAACCACAAAAAAGAAAACTGAACACCTCCTGCGAAGAAACAAACAACGGTGAAAGGGGACTACCCTTTGTCCAACAGTCATGCAGGCGTATAAGGGGCCATTTCAAGAGGATGGTAGTCTTCTAAAGCTCTCCAGTCCACTCTAAGGACTCTTGGAAACATGCGTACGTGTACACCAGAAGTTGTATGTAGGTGACAACCCGCAGAAGCAAAATGGAACACTTGGCCCAGTGCTGATCGCAAATGGGTTTCTTGGTCTTGCCATTTTCCATGCCTTTCGCTCAAAGGGGGTTGATGTTGGACCCTCTTTACACCACCCCCCCCTCGCTAGGAGTGGAACCAGTCAGCTGGACCCTCTTAAGGTAAAATCCTGGGGGTCTGGGAGGGACAGTGCTTACTTTAGTATTGCCAATTCGACTTTAGTATTGCCAAGGCTGACTCTCAGATTCCCAGTACTTACTTTAGTATTGCCAATTCTAGTATTGCCAAGGCTGACTTTTAGATTCCCAGTACTTCCTGTAGTATTGCCAATTCTACTTTGGTATTGCCAAGGCTGACTCTCAGATTGCCAGTACTTACTGTCGTATTGCCAATTCTAGTATTGCCAAGGCTGACTCTCAGATTTTCAGTACCTACGTTAGTATTGCCAAGCACCCTTTTTTCAGCAACCCCCAAACAGGTTAGACACTAAAGAGGACCCCAAAACAGTCACATTAAAGAGGATCAGGGCCCCTTGTGGGCAACCCCCGTTGTGTGACTGCTTGCCCGCACTTTTTTGTGTATAAGGAAGTTGTCTTAAAATTTAATGGTTTGGGGACCACTTCAAAATCATGTTTGCCCGGATTTGTGTGCTCGTATTTTTTGCTCGTTTTCTTTGCCAAGTTTGTTTGGCCCATATTTCTTCGGAGGCTTCGTCCCAGACAAGATCAGGAGAGTAAACAACATGTGTTTTCTTCGGGAAACAATTGCTGCAATTGAGGACCCCAAAACAGTAACAAGATCCTGAATTGCGGAAAAAATGCTACAAAAGAGGGTGCTATTAATAAATGGAGGTGTAACATTAAATGGCACCCCGTCATGAGCAAAGCGAACAGCATGCAAAACGTATGTCTATGGCAAGTATTGCGGGCGTGCTTGCTGAAATCAGCGATCTATCAAAGGGAAGGGACGTATAGCAGCTTGTGAGATCCGGAAGAAAACACGCGGCCGCTCGGAACATCAACCAAAAGCGTCAACTTGCCCAGTGGCCACGGGGGAACGCCTGCTTGCTGGATATGTTCAAGGGACACTCTCAGACAAGTGTCGAAAACTGGGACGGAGCTTGCTATGAATCAGCACTGCTTCAGGCCTTTTGACTCACTTCGCAGCAAAAGAAGGCTCCCTCCTACCGAAACACCTTCCGTATTGAAATCAGGATGTTCTGCTTGTCTCAGTTGCCCAAAGGACCTGGAACTAAAAGGTTAACCTTTTGGGGCCATGACTAAATATGGACCAAAATTGGAAAACCAAAAGGTCAAAAGGTCGGCTTTGAACAACTGAGTTGTTGACAAGTAAAATTGGCAGCACACCCTACTGCTCCCCGAAGGTCAAATCTCGGGCCGGCGCCGAGTCTGGGAGGTTGTACCTTAGCCAGTGCCCCAGGCCGACCTTTCGGAAACCACCTGTTGGATTTGGATACGTCGATGATCATTATCATGTTTGTTATCATTATGATTATCATTGTCATTATCATTATTACGATTAGTATCGATATAATTATGAGTATCATTATCACTATTATTATTGCCATTAGCATCATTATTCTTATCATTATGATTATTATTGTTCAGACATCATGAAAGTCACGCCTTCAGCGGAAGATGGATTGCCCTCCTAGCAAGGTACCCACCCTCCTAACCACCAAACCAACCCAGGCTGGATCCACGTACGCTCGGAATCCAAGGATTAACCCCAGTTCTTTCTGGTACCATGATTATGGCTTTCAAGTGGGTTGAACACCGAATCATGGATCATTTCCGTAGGTTCCATTAAAAGGTCGTGGATTCTTCCACATACCTTCCATTCAGTCACCATGATTCACAGTACCCCTTTTCCCCTCCACGCAACATGGACAGTGGTAATATGTTTCATGGCCAAGTTCCGTCTAGCTTGTAGGCTAAGGAGCTCTGCAAAATGGCTCACCAATTCGCCTTTGCTGGACACGAGGCATATACACTGATTGAAAGCCATGAAAGGAGCCGTTGCCACCCAAGTGTGACTAGCACTGACTGATTGGGGCTGTTCAGGACCAGCACACGGGCCATCCAAAAGGGAATCCCTCGGTATCACGGAAAGTGGCCCTAAACGCTTCGATGGAGAAGCTGCAGACACTTGAACTGAGGATTCGAACCAGCCCTGCGCCAAATCGACTAGTGGTTTATTTCCCACAGCCATGAATCAGTATTCAGGGCAAACTCTGCTAGTGCAAAGTGCGTCCGAAATCTGCAAAAACTGGGATCTGGCTACAAACCATGCAAATACTGAACACACGGATACGCCTGTTTGCATCGAAGCGCTCGTTCTGGGCGCCGCATGCTGGGCAAGAGCTGACAATGGAAGCGTAGCCTCTGCACGAATGTTTTCTCTTGGCTGGCGCCATTTCCTCCACCAGGCGCAATGCTCTGGATGGCCGCTTGCGGCGGGAGGCTTGCCATCCTTCACGCTATGAAACAAATATGGCAGTCTTTCTTTGAATATCTTGTCGAAGCAACTGGTTTCTTCTTTCAGCTTGTTTTACAAACAGAAGCAAGGTTTCCTTTGGTTTCATTCTTCGACAAGGTATCTTCGTTTTACAGGCAACTAGGTCCTCCAGCAGAGAGGTTAGAATAAATTCAATAAGAGCACCCTTTTTTCCGTAGTCTGTTTTAGTAGGGTCCCGAACCCTCCCAACCAAAAAAGCGGTGAGAAAGGGCACCTGTAAAAAGCCGGGGGTCCTAGTCCTGGCAACCAACTTACCCCTTAAAACTCCAAGCCCTGGGGAAAGTTGTGCTATTGAGCCCATGTTACCCAAAAAGTTAAAAAGTTGTGCTTTTAAGAGGTAAGCCAAAGGAACTTCCCCGCTCCCCGGAGCGACTTTTCCGACTCGGTGCTGCAGCTCCGCAGTGACCAGCGCCACCCCGTTGCCCGAGGACTCCACCACCACAGGCAGCTCTCCGGCAGCCACCGGCAGCGCCAAGGTCTGCAACACGTCCGCGTTCCTCGTGTGAGCCCAAAGGGTAAGTCTTTTCAGGGAGACAACCAAAGAAGGTCTTGGTTTTCCATTGGGCTCCACACACCGCAATGGGTATGCATGTACGTATGGATGGATGGATGGATGGCTGGCTGGATGGGTGGATGGGTGGATAGATAGATGCAAGCCTTTGTCTTTGTTCGGGCAATCCCTCAAAATGGTGTCCCAAAAAACAACCTTAAGAGTCTTAAGAAACGAGCCCTCAAATCACAACCGCACAAATGGGTGTGTCTGATTTTCAGGATCCTTTTTGTTGCCAGCCAAACATTTAAAAACCCAACCTCTCCAAACATGGACTAATTGGCCGTTTCCATTCAACTGCCTTTTAAAAGCGACCCTAAACAGGAAGAAATGAATACACGAAACATAAACGTGTCAACCCCTGAGTTCCCTGAATAGATGAGCAGGACCCCGTTTGGAGGCACAAACGCAAAAAAAACAAGCATTCGCACACGTTCAATCACGTCCCACACAACCAGTCTACCCACAAAAACGAAAAGAAACGGAGTTGTTTGATTCCAGGCCGTGCTGAGTAAGCCTCAAATTGTGAGAACACAACCCATTGAAATTCAGAAGATGAACCACTCCCCAGGCCCCAGTACCTTCTGAACAGGTAGTCTTTGCGCTCTCTACCCCGCCGGTGTCATCCGCAAAGGCTTCTTGGAGCCTTTGAGCCTTGAAAATAGACAAACCTTGAACGTCAGTATGCGAAGCCAAGCGAATTTCCATGGGGGTTCAAAGGGCTCGTGCTTTTGGTTGGTGGAAGGCAACCCTTGTCAAGAAACGGACAAAACGAGGTGCCACGCGAGCAAGCCAAGTTTGATTCGGAGCTCCCGGAGGTGATCTGCAGCGTCTGCTGGAAGCTGCCTCCATTGCTCACCTCGCAACCGCGGGCAAACTGGCGCGCCAAGAATTGGTGTATGGGTGTGTGTTTTTTGAACTAGCATATGAGTGTATCTGTTTTGAGGCTACCCTCTTTTGGTGGTTGTAAAGGGAAACCAAAACAAGAAAACCACCGTCACGCTTGACTGTGGCCGCGCCCCGCTGGAGCGACCGCGAACATGTTCGACTGCTCCATCTCAGCGACTTTGCGCAAGGCAACCAAAGCCTCCTACTACAAGGTCGCAGCCGAATGTAGGCTGCGGCGTTTCGAAACAGCCCAAAGCGCGAGAGGACGCATGACAAAACGGGCACCCGGATTCAACGTATCGAAAGGAGGTACATTAAAGGGCAAGCATCTTATGGCCTGGATACCTGGCGAGGATGGAACCTCCAACCAGGCTGACAATATCAGGCTCAAGGTGGCCTGGCAATATGTTTGTGTTGATTGGCGACAGCCACGGCGATATCGCCTTCCTCACTTTGCAGAAACTGGTCCTTCCCAAGAGGCCCAGTGAAACACATGGCATCACAACCAAGAACACGATGCTTTGCAGAAACATTAGGACGAGCAAGCGGTTGCGCCGATACAAAGCTGTAGCACCGCCATGGAGAAAATGCACACCAGCTGTAAAGCGCTGGTCACCTCACCGCCCGGAAGTGAAAACAGCCCATCAACATCCTTGAGGACCATGTCAGTGATTGGCGGCAAATGCCGCATCTATACGCGCACTTTGCGAGTTGCTGGCATATGCGGGCAGAAGTCCATAAGCAAAATGCTGTCTCATGCCTTTAGGGACTGCTAGAGGAGCCAGGGCAGATGCATAGTGCATCCGTGCGGTGCATGGCGTGTGCGGCGGTATAAAAGTGGCCCGAAAAAAAGCACAAAAGCGGCGGGCCACGGTCTCACCACGACCTATGCTGGTCATGGCGCAAAGGCGGGCGCGTTGCCTCTGGATGAAACGCGCATCATGTGACCAACCTGCGAAGCATCCACGAAACGGCTCGGCCAGCATTTCGATCCAGACTGCCAAGGGACAAAGCAAGGGGTGGTAACAAGACCGGCCCCCAATAGATATCGCTCCTGGAACATATCTGGGTGTGGCTCAAAATTAAACAGGAGGGGTTACGCAGGTTTTGGTCCATATGTTCACTTACCAGGGTTCCATTTTGGTTATTCCGGTTTTTGAGCCACAGCCATCTGTGTCCCACTGAGCTAGCTTGACCCGCTGAGCTGGCTGAGACTGCGCTTTCCGAACAAAGGAAAACTGCCGGAACAAGCCACGGCCGGGCGGCAAACCTTGGGCTCCGCGCCAAATGAAAGCCCAAAATGCCAACGTCTCAGAACTCGGAAGCTCATCCCCACGGAATCGCAATCAGCTTTGGACATGAAATCGAGAGAAAAACAAAAAACAAAAAAAACACTTCAGCAGTTGCCTGCAAGGGCTGACTTCTAAAACAAAGCCACCGAAGGCAGCGAGACTCAACCAAACGACACGCCCTTGTCGATGATCCTAGGTGTGAATAGCAACAGCGGGGTGTTGTTCCATCGTTCATGTTCAACAGGCCAAATCGTAGCATGACTTTCTGGGAACACCAAGGGGACAAAAATCATATCAGCAAAAGCGAGGATCTTGCGCATTGCTTTTCAACCCTTGCATGTCATCACAAGCTTTGTGTTTCGCGGCCTGCACCCCCGACAATCAACAATCAACAATCAACATCCATAACAACAAGGAAAAGTCACCTGCACCATCTTCATAGGTGGTTTATGGTAGTCATTAAGCTTTATCCGTGCTAATTGGTCCACGATTTTGCCCACAGGAAGGATTCCCTTGGAACAGCCACGTGGGCCAAAGGATTTTGACGCGCCTCGAGTGTGAGATCCACGTTTTGGCCCACCGTCGCAGCATAGGTCGCCAGGGCGTTCAATGCAACCACCGTGTCCTGCTTTGACATAGGCCAGGTTCCCAACACGACCTACTGTTCTCTGCGAAAAAGTGACTTCCCAACTGCTCCCTACAAGGAATGTCCCTTGCTGAGAACAAGCAAGTCCGCAAAGGGACCGGAGGCACTCCCCGAATCCAGGCAACAAGTTCAGAGGCATCATGGCTCAGCTAAAACTCGACAGGTCGCCCGGGAGGGGTTTTAGTCTCCATGGTTTCCGTCCAATCTGGGTGTGGGTCAAAAATAGGTACTGTACCCAAAAGGGAACCTTGGTAAATGGAAACAAGGAGTAAAAACTGCGGTCCAATTCCTGTTTAATTTTGACCCACACCCATCTTTTGGAAGCCACACAGAGACGGGAGCTTCTAGGATTTGCTCGCAGAAATCGGGTCTAAAAGAAAATGCGGTGAAGTCGAGGAGCCCAAAAAAACGCCACGCGACTGAGTCACGAAACTTGGACGTTTGGGTCAAGCAACATGGTCACCAAAGGTTTCAGATATTGCCGTGACGCAGAAAAAAACCCTGCAACCCCAGCACATCGGGCTATTTGAGGGGCTGGGGAAGGTTTAGTCCATGTTTGCATTTCCAGAGTTCCTTCTTGGACTATAACAAAAACATGTGAGCCACACCCAATGGCCAATGGGAGAATCTTGAGTCACGGCTTTGATCCTGGGTGGAGCTGAAGCCGCCACTTGCGCTGCGCCTGAAGGCAGCGAAAGCTTGGAACATCCAGTCCGGCGGAGCGCTTGCAATAAAGACAACGACCAACAAAGTGGGTCCCAAATTGACGTTGCAAAGGAAACCGAAAGAGGTGAACCCTTCTCAAGGGAATGAACCATCTTTATTTCCAAGCACCTTGTCGCTCAAATGAACAAGGATTCCCAGAATGATGAACGTGTTTTGCCATGACCTACTTCCCCAAGGCTGCAACAAACCAGCGCCACGTGTGCTCAAATACCCAGTGACCCCAGTCGAAAAAAATGAAACATATCTTAAGCTTTGTTGGGGGTCGATTCCGTTTTGCATGGGTCCCGCACCAATCAAACAAACAGCTTCTCTGTTCAAATGCCGCAGTTCACTGGCTGAAATAAGTCCCTGGCGTAGAAACATACCCCCTAAGGAAAACCGAGTCGCAGACCATCCGCGAATCCTCCGCGCCCGGGTAAACCTGCATTTCCTCAACATCAAAATGGCCATGTCTTTTTTCCACGGGATCTTTTTTTGCCGTGGTTTTGCCAGAAAATCCAGGAAAACCGAAACTCCTCAGCAAGGCCCAACACCAAAAACAAAACACCCAAATGCGGCTGGTTCCGTTTTGGACCCGCCCGCCCTGCCGGAGAACGCCTCTCCAGCAACCAGGAGGCGCCCTGGAAGGCTTCCGTGAGGCGATTCGCCATGGTCAGCGCCAGCACCCCGTACCCCGTCATCCTCGCTAAATGACAAGGGGTACATCCCCCTTAGTGGATTAGTAAAGGAAACCAAGGGGCTTGAACACGCTTGAACACGGGATGCCTACTTCCACCCGAAAACGAAACTTGCTCCCCCAAAAGGAAACTCAAAATTTGGTATCCCCTGGTGCTTAGTGCATTATGTAGGGTTCGTCCCCCATGTACTGGTGGGTGTATGGCCAAAGACGGATACCCCCGAAAAGGGCAGGGGTCTGTTCTTACACCCATTTTAAGTTAGTTTAGAAAAGCCTCCCATTTCCGACTTTTGAACGGAGTCCTGAATTAGACTGCCGTCATCTAAGGATCAGCTCTAAAGTGGCCACCCCAATGACCCGACCAGGATTTTTCAATAAAGAGGCCCATGCTTTAGATGCAAACGCGTACCAAAAGAACACACAAAAAAAAAAGCAAACAGGCGGGCCATTTTCTAGACTGGGTTCTCATCCCAAACACCATGACCGTGGAACAAAAAGGGGCACCCTTTCTTCGATACTTGATTTTAGAGGGACACCCTGGCCAAAAATAGGGCCAACAGGGCACCAATGGCGTCGGGCCAGTCATTGTGGGAGCTCGGAACAGATGAAATCCACAACGTGCATACATCGAACATGTTTTCTAAACGGGTTCTCAGTAACTTTCAGGTGTGCAAGTGGTCCATGTTGTTTTGCCAGGTCTCTCCACATCCATCGTCTTCACACCGTAGGCACCTAGGTCGAGGCAAACAGGGGGTACAAGGGCGTGCGTATTGTTCCCTACAACAGGATCAGGGTCTCAACCCGGGCACATTCCACTTCGGTTGAGGATTGGGGGCTCAAATCCCCAAGCCCACAATCGAAACCTCAGAAACGAGCGCAGCCGGGCTGCGACCTTTACAAAAGACAAACAAATTGCCTTGCTTCAAACGATTCCTAACAAACGCATAATCCGTTTGTTGAAGTCTGTCCGGAGTGTGGACATAGCATGGCGCATCGTGTCTTTGCAAGCAATGCAGATCATGATGGCGGTTTTTTGGGGTTGCATCTCGCGTGTGACAGTTGCAAATGCACGCAAGATTGTGCTGGGAGGGCAGGCAGACATGTTTTGCGGGCGGCCAGCTACGCGGCAGGACGCTATCGCGGCTGCCCTGGTGCGGCCACCGGCTGGAGCCTCAGGCTTCGGGCTGTCGCCGCAAGCTCTGTACCCGTCACAGCCTCTGCACATCTGTCTGTCAGATCTGTCTGTCACATCTCTCTGTCACAGGCTCTGTCATAGCTGTCTGTCACAAGCTCTGTCAATCTGTCTGTCACATCTGCCTGTCAATTGTTTCTTGGCTCCTCAGAAAATCACTTTGCGTCCTCAGAGTTCAATCTAAGATTAGAAGTGTAAAAGTTGCCTCGCAAGGACACGAGGTTGGCCCAGTGATGTCAAGCATTCGTGGGGGCTGGATGCCTCACTTCATTGCTTCGGCTACTGCAGCTCTGGAATGGTTGACCTCTCAGGCTCTTGAAGTTCTTGTTTCCGTGCGCCTTTGTCAGTTGCTATGGTCCTTTCGATCTGAGCGTTCTTCGATTTGGGAGGCAGCCTGCGGTTTGGAGGCAAACGCCCTGTCTTGCTTGGATGCTGCGTATGCCAGGTGTGCGAGGCAGCGCTTGTAGGTGTTGACCTCTGGTGAAAAGCGTCGGTCTGTCCTGGACATGACTAGAACTTGGGCGCGGAAGAGCGGGTTGTACTTGAGGTCGCTCCGGCCCGTGCTTCTCTGTGGAAACAAGGCTCCTGCACCCTTGGAACACCTTCTTGGATGCTCAAGCATCGCCTGCCGGTTCCTCGGTTTTCAGAGCTTCTCCGGATGACGTCGCAGACTGGCCAGTGTGGGCAACACAGTCCTACTAGGTTTTTGGGAAACACACATCGGTTGTTTCCTTCACCACCCGTTGGCGTACAAGCGTTGGTGCCCACATGGCGCCCTTGCGCTACCTTCGTGATGTGGCGGGCCGCTTCTCCCACTTGTCGGATGAACTACACGCACGGGTGCCTTGGGCTGCTCTTGTGGGGCAGAGATGCGTCATTCAACTACGGTGCAGGGGCATGCATCTTGGACATGCGGAGGGCAAATCTGAAGCTGCGGTGAGGTGCATGTTCTGTCAGAGACGTTACTCCAGCAGAGAAGCACGAACTTGAGATTGCCCCCAAGGGTTAGATGGGTACGAGCTCCACCGCCAACCTGAGAGCTGAGGGAACGAAAAAAGAAAAGGGAACAGGAACCCCGAGCTCTCCCAACGCCCACCTGAAAGTCTGGCAGCCTGGGGAACACAAATTCACCACGCGGCCCCTTCAAGCATCATCCCCGGAAACTCAGTGCCAAAAGGTGATGCTTGAAACCGCCACAAGGAGAAACGCAGGTCACAGGTGCGTCTTTTTTGAGGGTACCTCTTTTGCTTTTTGTATCTTTTTGTGTGTTTTCCGGCGGTTTTGAGGGCACCCAAGAGGAGCACCGCTATTTTGCCGGGGTCCCCTGAAACAAAGACACGCCCACATACCCTGAAATTCAACCCCCATTAAACAAAAGTTGACCCAATTTAGATGATGACCATCCTTGGGAAAATCATGGTGGTTATATGAACCACCATTGGTTTAATGGTGGTTTGGTGGTCATATGAACCCAATGTAGATGATGACAATCCACCACCATTGGTTTAATGGTGGCTTGAACCCCAGGGCATAGGGAACCCTGTCCACCCCGCGCCTGGAGCCGGGTCAGAGACGCCAGTGCTGCCGCTCCAGAATCGTCGGGGGAGGGCGGTCGAAGAGAGCGCCAACACCTGACGTCTTTCGAAAGGGGCGTCAGGGTTTCCAAAACCTAAACAGAGTCAAAAGGAGCGTATCTCATATGAAAAATGTGAGGCTGTGTCCTTTTGTTTTGTTTCGGGACCCCTCTGTGTTCTTTAGCTTCCCTTCAAAAAAATCAAGAACCCTCAACAAAAACAAACACACACACACACAAATGGGTATGATTTCAATAGGAGACCCTTTGGTGAACATCATTGAGGTCGGGATTTATGCCAACCAACCACTTAGCCAAGGAGAAACCAGAGGACAATGAAAGGGAATTTCCAGGGGATCCATCCAATTCGCCCACGCGGGCGAATTGTGTGTGTGTGTGTGCCTGTGCCCATTTGGGTGTAAATTGGTATCCGAACACTTGGTTGACATCACCATGCATGGGAGTTTATCTACACATACAATGATTCACCGACCTGAACTATGGATCTTGAGACAAACCCATAAGTTCAACTGAGACTAGTTGGTGGAAATCATCTGAAAGTTAGCAGCGGACATGTTGGACACTGTTCCGCAGTTCAAAAAGTAATTCAACTGGCAAGAAAAAAATGACCAGCATCATTAATTTAGCGAGGCAAACATACGATCTTCGACGACCCGCAATACGATGCCGTCTCGTTAGCTGAGTGAATCGGTCCAAAGAAGGTCCAAGCCTTGCTGTTTGCCACTGAAGCATTCCAGAAAGTGCCGAGTCCAAACACTCAGAAGGAAGATGAGTATGTACTCTAGTCGTGCCTTCACAATTCTTCCATCTCTTTAGAAAGTGGGAAATAAGCAGTTCCTGATATCAAGGATGTTGGATCATAACCCTTAGTTTAGAATTACCGCAGCATCAACAGCGGTTTGAACAAAAGAACGCAAAGCAGGGGTCGAAGAACATGTGGTGAGGACAGGCAACCACGTGACACGGACCGGTAGAAAAAAACTAAAACAAAATCACAAGAACTTAACTCGCTGATTCTGACATGACTTCATACTGTTTGCCCTCTATGCTTTTTGGTCAGCCCGTTTGCCTTGGTTAACATTGTTAGTGTCTGGATCCACGCCAAACGCCAGCGTCCCTAAAAAGTAAGCACCAAGACCAACAACAGGGTAAAGCCCCTCCTTGACTGCTCAAGGACGGACAAGCCCACTCAAAGCAAAGGAAAATTGGACCTTGTCAGTGGACCCTCAATCTGCTGTTTCCACACCTACCCTCCCGCTGTCGTATGAATGGAGACTTTACTTCTTCCTCGTTCGGTTCCAACTTTCTACGGAGAAAAGTATCCAACTCGGGCAATCCAAGAGCAACCACCCACAAGGCTCAACATGACAAGCAGGGTATTGCCATCACGAGAACACAGGGCTCTACATTCGCCCCACCCCGCATATTTGACTTGATGCCCCATCACCTTCGTCAGTGTTCCACCCTGATCCTAGGATTCCAATTGACTGTACCATCATACCTGTCCGAAAAAAAATAATAAAAAAATGCAAAGGCCAATCAAGCGCCAGTTCTAAATCTGCTCTCCCGCATCGTTTTAGAAAACGGCAACGGAATGTACAAGTGTAAGTTCTTACCAGCAGGAATCTGTCAATCTGGGTGACGTATAGTATTCCCGATGATGTCACACAAGACCCTTGGTTTAAGAATGGCGTCCTCTTCTACAAAGATGGCTACACGCTTCACTTTCATCAAGGATGAATGTGCAAACCAAGACAGCCAAGACATGACTGTGGCTCAAAAAACTGGAATAACCAAAATGGGTTGCCCTGGTAAGTGGTTTCCATGGACCAAAACCTGCGGTTTGCCCCTCCTGTTTAATGTTAAGCCACACCCACATGTGACTTCCCTCGGACTCGACTCATCCGGTTGGCACCTCTGTGGCCACTTGCTCGTCACTCCAGAGTCCTAGCGACTTGGTCAGCGTTCAACCCTGAACCAAGGATTGCTTCGCTGTCTCGCTGTGGAAAGGGTTCAGACTGACAAGTGCTACAACACAACTTGTTTGTTTGACTTATTCATGTTATCTATGTCCTTGCCGTCATTTTATATTTGTTTTGTTTCTTTTGGGGGGGGGGGGGGAGCGGGGCGAACCAAAATGATACAAAGCAACTTTGGGGTGGGGGAGTTGATGTTAACGACACGTCAGCAGTGGGTGCTTCAAAGAGCTCCGAATTCATCCCAGCAACTCGCTTGAGCCAGCAAAAAAAAACACGCAATGCCCGTGTGTCTTTCTGGCACCTGGCTACATGTTCACGGCAACAACTTGAAACCAAGAGGATTCACAAAGAATCGCTTTCAACAAGTGAGTTAACAAGCACTAGCAAACAAATACATTCACAATGGCATCTTTCCATCTCTGACTTGGCACATGCTCAAATCCTGCTGTCTGGATGTTGTGAGACAAACAACAAGTTCAAGCGTGCTGTTTACAACTCAGAGCAGCAACTCGTAAAGCTGGTGCTTGCCTCCCCCCCACCCCCGAAGAAAAAAAAGTGGAGCAGCTTGGAATCTTGGATAGATCATGAGGATCCATTTGGTCAAGTCTGAAATGAAGGCAGCCCTTGGGCGGCGTTCACAATGAAACACGGTATCAACAAGGTCTCAAATCCATTTGAGGATCTATCTGTTGTAGTTAAGCTACTATGAAGCACACACAGGAAAAATACGGAATCCAAGCAAGGAATCACTCAACACAAGTGCTCAAAAGCCATTGGGAAAGTTCTGAACATCAGGAATTACCAATTTTCAGGACAAGGAACTTCCAGTTTGAGGACACACACACACACACACGCGCGATTGAATCTTGAAGTATAATATTAGTTTAGTAGTGCTTCGTGAAAACTTAGTGCTAGCTTAGAATTCCGTTAGTATCGGTTTTGTATGGTCTCGAATGAGCCTGAGCTGGGACAGTTGCTGACCGGGCTCTTTTAAGAAGGCTCAGACGGCCTAGATAAGGATTTGCAGTTTGGAGGCGCGGACTTCTTTCTGGGTGTTTTGGGTTTTGAAGCAGTAGGACAAGTTGGGCCCTGAGAAAACAGGGTCACGTTTCCTGGCAGTTGGTGAAGACTTTGGGATTTCGGGGTCGACCGTATTTTGCCTGGGAAACAAATATGTATTGGGCACCCTTTGTCTTCGCGAACTCCCATGAATTGCAGAGGCCTCGCCTTTAAGTCAGTGACCGAAGAAAATATGAATGCTTTTGTTTTGCCTCTTTCAAGGGTACCCGCCCGCCCCCGCCTGCCCCCTATGCATTTTTCTCGCTCCTGCCAGCACCAAGGCATGCGCTCGAAGGAGCGCCTCAGAGAAAATTATTGTCCGACCGACCGAAGAAAACCTCTCCCCCGCCTCCCACTTTGCCATGGCACCTGAAGGGTCCCTTGAAGAGGACATTGATCGTCCACCCTCCCACAAATGCCTTCTGTTAGTGGGAGGGTACCTCTTGGAAGTGTCCAAGGGACTCCCTAAGCTCAAACGGGCTTCAGGCAGTACACATGGGGAAACGACTTCGAACAGTTGGCTGTCAAAGCTAGGAACCCTCTTCTTCAGCTTTTTGGCCAACTAAAAGTGGCTTGGCTCATCGTGGTCAGCCTCAAATTGGAAATTGTGTCCGAAGGGGTCCCAACGGATTATTTGACCCTTCTCATGCTGTCACCTCTGAGAGGCTGCTTCCAGGAAGAGCCGACTGCGACCAACTGTGAAGACTTTTCAAATCATGGCCCCAGGTCAACCAAGTGTCTGTGCTCCCTACCCACTTGAGTTTGAAACTCCAGTGTTGCAGACAGCTCGCGACTAATTTGTCCTTCTGTCCCTCAGCGAAACTAAAGGTTTGGACTGTCAATGAATGTCAATGTGGTAACCAGGGTTGCTGTCACCTGGAAGCCACTGAACTCTTGTACGACCTATGAAGAGAACAACGTTTAACCATGCGCCGTACAACTTCGACCCTCGTCTCAAATAGCTCTCAAGTCCCCTGGCAAAAATAGAAATATTTCCAGTAGTGATAGATTCCCTTCAAAAAACACACAGGGAAAAATGAAACATATTCTTAACCAAATGGAAGACAATCACATTGGCTTGGTTTGGTCGCACGCATCTTGGCCACCTGCCCTGCCCATTCCTTGCAACATTTGCCTCCACTCTATCAGCGCACAAGGCCGGGGGTGCGATAGCTGAACGTATATCGTGAAATCAATGTGTATATCTATATATGTAGGGAAAGTGAAACGGGAATGTCTCTTGGAATTGTGCACTCATTTGCACTTACCGTTTTCATTGTGGCTGAAGAGGATTATTTTTATTATCCACCACAACCGCCTTGGTAAATTTGGCCATCTTTGAGGAGCCGGGAGTTTCTCGGAGTTTCTCAACATTGGAGCCCCCCTAAAATGGGCTGTTTCCCTTTAGTTTCCCTTCGCAAAACGACCCAAAAAGGGTCCAACACTTTGAGAAATCCCCAAGGGGCAGTCCCTTTTCATGTGAACGCGAGAAAACCAGCACACAGTACATGGGACTTTGGTTGGGACCGGGCCGGGTGCCGGTTTCGGGGTCCATTTTGATACAAGCGCGTGCCAACGAGATCCCCAACGAATTCTTGGACCCCGAGGCGCGGTGTACGTCGTAGTGGCCGACACCTGCTCCAAGAAGTTCGCAGCCTTCTGCAGCCCCCCGGCGACGCTGGCAACGTCCTTGGCCTACGACAGCTGTCGGCTGCGCCCCGAAGAAAATGGGCACACGCCAAAAAAGTAGCTTTGAAACACACGAAATGGCATCCCGTTTTCAGAAGTCCATTTAAACCAGACCCCAAAAAAGGGGTACCGAAAACCAAAGACCAAAGTGGTGGTTTAGATTGGTCTCACTTTCGGAGTGGATAGTCTTTCCCAACAGTATAAAGTCCAGAAACTCCGCGGGGGAGGGGCTATTGTCCAAACCGCGAACCAACCAAAAAAAGCGGTATGTTTGGCGAATTTGAGCCACGTCCAATTGCTTGCCATAGTCACCTCACCCCCAACAGGTTTGGAGGTGGGCGAATCCAGAGGTGTTCTTTTCGAGGGATGTCCTGCCTTTTATGAATTGGCCAAATATGGCACTCCGTAGTCCAATACTCCCATCTGGTTTCGGAAGGAGTGGCAATTTCAAAAGATTCTGACAGGAAGGCCAACATGTTGCTTTGTAAGCATGCTAAGCGTCGATATTCATTTGTTCAGACTCAAAAGGAAGGGGGGGTGACGCCCCAAAAAATCAAAACCACAAATACAGGGCTGCCTAAATTACGACCCTTCCTTCTGGTCAAACTCCCGTGGGTGATGTGAGTCATGATTCCGGGTAAGGATCGTTTGCATTGGTCAGAAGTTCCGATGAACAGATTGAGGACCTGGACCATCCCTACCAACACCAAGGGGAATTTTGAGTACGTCACACAGTGAAACCACTTAAAAAGGAACATCAAGTTCCGGCAGTCACTGGGTTTCCCCTTCACAAGTTGCAGTTTACTGGAGATGTCCATTGAGCCTGTCACTTTTGGACCAAAAAGAATGTTTCTGGTTTGGAGGTAGGCCACTTAGTGCCTGGCCAGCGTCCCTGGCAGAAGGGAACCCTTTCTTGGGGGTTGGCGAAACTGTTCCTCCAGAGAGGTTCGAATAAGGGTACCAACTTGTTTTTAACCCTCCCCCAAAAAAGGGGGTAAAAGGGCACTACAAAACAATAGAAAACCATCCGCGCGCCTTGGCGAGGGCTGCAGTCACGTAAGCAGTGAGCGGCACTGCAGAAGAGCCGCTGGCTCCGCCCATCATCTCCTGGCTGGTGGGGCTTCAGGGCCTTCAGAGCAAGGGTCTGAACTAAAGTTCTTTGAACATGCTTTCCCTCCCTTCCACTAACAGAAGGCACCTATGGGAGGGCGCCTGGAAGATCATGTCCCTCTCGCAGGGACCGGGTCCCTGTCAGGTGCCGTGTTCGTGGGAGTGAGGCTAAAAGGTGTTGAAGCATCTGCTTGGCCCAACCCTGCCAAAGGCTCAGAAAGCCAGAGGACGTCATTCTAAGGGCGGCGGGTCTGACCGTTGATTCCAAAACACTTTTTTCAGCGAGGAACTGCAGTGTTCTGAAAAGTAAATACCTTGAAGGACCGATTCGATTCCCCATTCTCTTCACACATTGATTGTCCTCTTTAATTACAAACCACCCGTGGTTTCAGGGATTTTTGTACATTTCCCGAAGGGAAGGATCCCCGAGACTTGGCAGTTCGCAAGGCTGGCGCTTCACAAGGCCCAACAAGATCCCCGAAAGCATCACAGCATCGCCCCGCAAGTCGGATCCTGAAAAGTCTGTTCAACCCAAAACGCCGCATGCCGCATGCCCCCATATTGAATATGACAAAGCCCTCACACGCCCGTACATAACGAAAGGTGGTGCTTGAACGTGATGTTGAATTTAAGTCGAGCTGGAAAACCGCAGTCCTGTGTCTCATGGAGAACCCATGCAAAGGTAGCCCTACCGCGCATTGTAGAACCCGTCGTTTTGATGTATAAGTTGGGAAGTGCTTGTGCGGCCCGTGCTCATCAAAACAACCATGTTTGGTGTTACTAGTTTTGAACGACACAATGTATGTCGCGCAACTGCACATCAATTGTGCTAAATGGCAAACTACTGAGTGTGATTGAATTTCAAACATACTCAGTAGTTTGCCATGATTCTTGTGGACCATATATTTCACGTTCAATATTCAACATTCCCACTCACCAATCTAACACTGCGACCCTCAAAAGCATTGATGGGTTTCGATCTTGGTTGCTTACCTTATTAGCGGCTCAAGCTTCTTTGATGCCCCACCCTAGCAACAGTACCCCTCTGATTGGCTTGCTTCCCCGCCCCAATGACCTGCTACTGCTGACTTCAGGTTGATTCGTTTTCGTCCCGGTGTCTTAAAGGAAATGGAAGGAGTAGAAGCACCATTGGCACGACACTGCAAATGGACACCATGCGTTGGTCAAAATCAGCACGAACCAAGTCAGCATCATCCTCTATCTATGACACTTGCAATTCTGTTGAACTGTTGGGATCTGTACTGGCTCCCCTTTTGGTCTTCTTAAGCAAGGAATTCAAAGCCAGGACAAATCATGGCACCGCCAAAAAGGAATGACTTCCTTGGGGGGATATGTTCTGCGACCTTCCGGATGGAAGCAGAAGGAGCACATGTAGAAGTACGTATAGTTGATTTGTGCCCTCTTTCTTGTGGGGGCCCGATAACAAATCAGGAAGACTAAGCAAACATGATACCTATGGTGCCCATGGGTACACGAGCGCTCCTTTTGTTGGTTAATCTTAAAGGGAAACCCCTTTCCAAGGGAGAGAGAAAGGAATGCCCCGCCAGAACTCTGGGGAAGGACCACAAATCAGGAAGACAAATACAAGGGGCTAATCAGTTGCGAACATGATTCTCCCATGATCATGAGGCATTTTGGTTTAAACATACACCCAACCCCCAACCTATAATTGTGTAGGGAAGAAAGAGTAGGCAAATATGGAAGGATACGAACAAAGGCCAGCGTTGCCCCCAATCCAAACCAAGACATTCTTTGGACTATGGCCCATTTTGGGGCATAAAGTGGCAACTCACACGAGATCGCAAATAAGAACCACAGGTGCGTGTCTGTGTGTGAGAGAGAGAGAGATAGTGTGTGTGTGTGTGGTTTTTTTGAGGGCAAACAATGCAGTTCGATTTTAAAGGGAAATCAAGAGGACAATCAAGTTTATGCTTTGCGCCCCCTGTTTTGACACACATGCAGACTGCAAAGGCATGGGGCCGCCTGATGGATGACCTTGCCCACGGACTTGAAAGACCCATCGCTCTGCTGCTGCGCCAGGAGGAACTCCGCGGCCTTCGTCATGACGCCTCCAGCTCGAGAGCTCGAGGGATACGAGCGTCGAGAGAGGGATACGAGGCGAGGGACCAGGCGAGGGATTTTCCAGCTGAACGCTATGGGGTTGCTGGGTCTGTTTGGCAGACTTGCCTAGGATAGGCAAGGCTTGGAACCTTGCTAGGTTGGCAAAACCTGCAGTTTTACGAAGCTACTCGCCTGCCAGGGAAGGAGAATTGGAATGACCGCTAAAATCCCTGCTCTTGTGGTTTCCTTTGTAGGGGAATCCCCCTTCCGGTTCATGCCCGGTTTGAACCCATGTTCCTTCTTGGAAACGAAAGTGGCGATAGGCTCAATGGAAACCACCGGTGAATTGATCAACTTTTGAATGGGAACTGCAGTGATCCTTGCTTGCAGGTGGGATAGGCCATGAGAATTGGGATGATCTCTCAAAAACGCTCCTGGTTTCCTTTTACAAGGGAATCCCCCTACCGTTTCCTTCCCAACACAGAACAGAGTTGCTGGAAGGTGGGTTCCAAAGGTTGCTGCTGGAGATATCACCTAGGCTTCTGCACAAAACACACCTCTTAGTCCCAGGCGCACATGATCCCGGCGGAAAATGGTGGAAGAATTGGACAAATGGCGCCCTTCCAAGCCAGGATTGCTCCAGTCTTTAAAAGAGAATATCAAGGCAGGCCGTTTTGTCGAAAAAAACTCCGAAACGGTGACTTCATGCTTTGGCTTTTTGGGTTGTTCCAAATGGGATCCACAATGCTACCGCGCAATCTGCAGCGCGACGCCACGAAGGACACCACTCCAAGGAAACTAACTCAGACTTGCCCTACCAAAGCACCTGAGCCACAATCAAAACCTGGCCTTGAAATGGTCTACTACCCAGAACCATGTAAAAATCAAAAAGGCGGAACCTTCATCTACCCAGGTTTTCAGCAAGTGGCTCACCTGTAAATACGAGGATTCTGGAACCCAGAAGCAGCCTGGTCGATAAGTAGAAGTGGCTCCAAATCAAACAGCTGGGGTTACGCAGGCTTTGGTCCATGTTTCCACTTACCAGGGCAACCCATTTTGGGTATTCCGGTTCTTTGAGACACTGCCAAGAAAAAGAGGTCCTCCAGTTGAGAGGTTAGAATAAGTTGGCACCAACTTTTTTCCGTAGTCTAATTTAGTAAAGAACCCCTCCCCCAAAAAAGGGCAAAAGGGCACTACTGGGGGACCTAGGTAAGCCAAAGGCGGGGGGGTACTGGTGGCCGATTCTGGCCGAGTCGTCCTGCCTGTGTCCACTGCCACCAGCCCAGTTTGGTGCACCTCCGCGAAGACTCGCAGGACGAAGGCCGTGAGCCACGTGGAACCCGAAGAGTCGCTCCTCTCAAACGGATGTCTCTGAGTCTGGATGCAGCAGACTTTTTTTCCAGGGCTTTGGGTGATCGGTTTTGTGCTCTGTGTGTGGGGTTTGGTGACTTCTGATCTGTTTTTGCTGGCTTTGGGTGTTGGTTCTGAGATTCTGGGTCCGCATCGCTGCTTGGGTTGTTTATGAGACAAAAACGGGGTGCTCCAGCCGCACAAGAGTCAACAAGATTGGTCCCTGAAAACGACACGACAAGCCTGGCTCAATGTTTTTGCTGCGGATTGGTCATTGTTTTGAGGGCTGGATCAACCGTGCGGCAAGGTAAGCCAGCATTTAACCTGGTTCAAAATTACAGCAGTGGGAATACCAAAGCATGGTTTGAGAACTGATGAAAGGAAGTCGGAGAATGCTCCAATGGTTTACAGGTTCAGTCACGGAGAAGCTCAACATTGTTGGCAAAAGATAGGCCACAGGTTGCTTTCCTTCTGGTAACTTTGTATAGCAAATCATCAAAGCACCCACCCTTGAAAACTGCAGGGAAAATGCCAGGTCACCTACTATAGCCCATAGAGGCAACTGGGATCCACAGAGTAAAGGGCAACCTTCCATTGGCAAACAAAGAAATGAAAACAACTAACGATGGGAAAGCCGGGGCTCGAAGGGATCAACCAAGTGGAACCAAGTGGGAAACCACTTGCAAAAGTAAGCCCCTCAAACAACTGGGATTGTTGGTTCAATCAAGAAACAAACGCACGAGTGTTCAAACATCGCAAACCCGGTGTGAATGATGCTTGCAGCAACACCTTACCTGAGGGAGCCAACCTTTTGGAGGGGTGTGTCCTGTCTTAGGAGGCGCTCATGGTGCCCAAAAGCGCAAAACAAAATATTGCAAGAAAAACAAGCTTGAGACACAGCTAGCAAGACAACATGAACCAGGGTGGTCATTTACACCTTGCAGCATGTTTAACTCTTTGCTACAGCCTTAGTCGGGATCAGTTTCCAATGAGTTGAAAGGTGCAGATTGCATATTGTGGGCAACCCTACTTTAAGGTTGCTTCGGCCAGGCCAAGGAGCTGGATGTAGGACTCCAGTTTGAGAAAATCCAGAAAGCAAATTGAACCCTCGGCCTTTGAACCTTCGCAAAGCGCTAAACTGCGTTTTTCCGCGTCCCCAGCTATTTCACCCTGTGAAGATCAAAATACAATAAAACAAATCCAACACACATGCCTTACGAAACGCCTTTGGTGGGCTTGCTCCTTTTGTGCCAAAATAGTCACAACCTCCATTGGTGGTTTCCTTTTGGTTTCCGCTCAAACCAAGATGAAAAGGGTACCCTCAAACACACAAGCTGATCGGAGAGGTGTTTCTTCCCCGTGATTGTGCCATGCTCAAATCTTCTGTGGGTAATGATCGCTTCTTTCGGCACCCTGACAATGATTGTCGAAAACCCTTGCAGAATCCGTGACCATCCCGAAGCCCAACTCCCTCCGAGCTGTGAAAGGGCCACACAAGTCCGAACTCGTTGCGTACCAAAATCGTCTTCCCAAAAAGCAGCTCACAGAAACTCAGAGGTGGGCTCGGAAAGCAAGGTCTTTTTGACCATGGCACATATGGGTTTGTCTTTTGTTGAGGGAACCCCCTTTTTCAAAGTTTCAAAGAGAACCCAAAGGAAACCCCGTCTATTTTTTGTGGGGGTCCCCCTCAAAAGCCACACACATGCATAAACACATCGCATATGTATCTCAAGTTCAGTCCAGGCGCTTGCCAAAGGCGGAGAACGAGCCGTCCTCGTGGCGGTAGGTGAGCTCACGCCCATAGCCTTGCAACGTCATGACTTTCGCGTGAGCGGCTGGCAGCCACCTTGCCATTTTCGGGGTTCAAATCATAGGTGACCTTTGGGAAGAATTAATGGGTCTCCCTGGGAATTGGTTTAAACAACCAATCTATATACAGCAGTGGAACCCATCTACTTTGAACGAACCTAGCCTCAAAAGGACTCCTATGGCCATAGATCGAAGCCAAAAGGTGATCAGTTTGGTCAAATCATGTGAACCAATGAGCCACTTTGCAACACATCCGGCTGTGACCTTTGCATTGCGCGGGACCCCCTCCACTGGGCTTCACCCGGATCGGGCGCCCGTGAACTCGTTGGTTGGAAGGGACAATTCAGCAACACCAAAACTTGTTTCTGCGACAAGTAGGGAATGTGGGACTGAAACCCAAGCTTTGGTTCCCAAAAAGAAACACCAGTTGGATGGTGTATTTTTGGGTCATTCCCTCAGGGACCCTGCCTATCGCACCAGCAAAACAAAGGCAAAAGGTGAAAAAGGTGCAAGTACTGGGGAAAATCCAAGGTGTCCTTTACATGCCTATTGGCCATCCACATTTTGTGGCCAACCAGCATGAATGCCAGTCCTGGCGAGAAACATGTTGTAGTTTTGCACCAGTTTTTCCCCAGAATAGCAACACTCGCAGGTTCCCTTTTCTGAGAAACAAAGGACACATTGAAAAACAAACATGTAATCCTGACCGGGTGTAGGCGGTTGGGTTTGGGGGTTGCGTGCCCAATGCAAGGTCCAATAAAATATGGTTGTTGTTTTCTGAATTTTACCGCTTTCCAGTTCTCCCGCGTTCCGCCGTAGAGTTCGGTCTGTCGCTGTGCTGCGAACCTCTTGGAGATCACAGCTGCCCCAATTCACCAGTTGCGCTGTCTGAAGCAATCCCCAATGCGAATGAATGTAAGAACATGACGCTTGACGTTGCCACGCCGGTCAAACTGCCTTTGCTTTTCGCAGGGTCCTCGAAAGCTTCTTGCCACATTGCAGCACTTCGGTTTGGGGAAGCATGGCTCGTGATTCAGTGGACTGCCCACGTAAACGCAGGATCATCCATATTGGCCCCATTTTCCTGCTCACTAACATACAACCCACCAGAGAGTCCCATTTAAAGCAAACTAGTCTTTCATGACCCTCGGTCAGGTCAAGCCCAGACTGTGCTTTCCAAATCAATCTGACTACTGGCATGAGCTGGATTCCGCAATCTGAAGTCTTGCCATCAAATTCCTCGATTGGACGGCGATTGGACGGCGATTGGACGAGTGCCACCAGTGATCCCTGCCCATCTGAGCTATGTCACTTCCTTCCTGTTTCCTGGAAATAAGACAGCGAAAAGCGAAGCAGAAGCAGCGGCGATGCCCAACGTTGCTCCACGATTGGACCGTGTGGGACCGCGATTGGATCGCGATTGGCCGGCGATTGGGGTGTCTCCAGGCAAAGTAATTTTGTACAAAGCGCACATGTTTGTCATTCTCGCATTCGAGGTGTGTAGACCAGCGCAGCCAACCAACCAGTCTCCGGCACTTTGAGGCATTGCATTCCTTGCAAATCATTTGCCCTCCTGTCCAACAACATGGACGCCGACAAAATCAACGTTCAGCATTCCAAGGAAAACTTTGTGCGAGCCTGTGCGGTCCAAGTGAGCGAGACGTGCGTCGGCACCACGACCTAAACACCATGCAGCGTCAACAACCTCAATAACTGCGTTGCCCTTTTGCGGTCCAATCGCCGGCCTTTCGCGGCTCGCGTTTTCCCCATCGCGCGGTTCAACGTTGCCGCTGTTCAAATAAGTAAGTTTTAGACATGCAATGACGGACGGCTCCCATGTATCCAAGAAGCCAACCACCATGTTGTTGACAATTCGCTCCCGCAAATCTGGAGTCCTTGGTGTTGCATGGCCTCAACTCGGACATGTCTTCTATGAGGCCATGCTCAAGGAATCTATCCGGGAATCAGGGGCGCTCCAACAAGCATGTCAAGCGGGTGGAAATATTTGGTCCCTGGCCAAGGAAAACAAAAGCACCCCAAGGAGCCAACAGATTGCCTCCGCACCGTGGCCGCACTTTTGGAAGGAGACCCCATCCACTGAGGGTTTCTGAATCCAGGGTTTACCTTAACCATCAACCTGCAAATTCGGTAGGAGCCTGATTCTGCTGTGAGGACACATTTGAGGAAGAAATCACGTTTGCCGCAAGCCCTCACTTTTAGGAAAAAGTCTATGAATGTGCCGGCTGGAATCTGGGGCGTACTCGACCAACCAGACCAGCATGTCCCAACAAATAAGCTGGCTCCACCTCATTTCACTCCAGTGTGCTTTGCTTTGACCTACCAAGGACACCCTTCGTTGGATGTTGGTGGTTCAATACGGACACCTGGCCCTCATAACAGCCCCGTTTTCCTCTTGTTCTCAAACAGGGTTCCCTCTATGTCTCTCTTAAACATGCTCCGTCAAAAGGAAAAACTAGACTTGGTTCAAATTTGTGATGTTTAAGCTGGCTGAAAAGGAAACATAGAGACTCTGCCAAAGTTCAGCCAGTGGCAGATTTTGCTGAAGTGACCCGCAGCTTCTGAGCTTGACAACTGGCAGTCACCATGAGACCTTATGTACAGCAGCCAGCTACGCAAAGGAAAAGCACTCCTTCATAGGTGACCTGTTCAAAATATGGAAGGCCCTGGTAAATAGAATAATACCGATCTAAACCAGTGCCATCTATCTCTATCCAAGCTCGCAAGAATCGACACCTATGCGCTCGTTCGAAAGGAGAAGACTCGCAACAGCCAATGAACCGTCCCGGTTTCACCTTGGGCCGACCTCTTTTACCTGGAGACGTCTTGCATTGGGAAGCTGACTGACTTGCCAAGAGAGCCAGGTGAAACGCCTGCTCAACGGTGGGCCTCATATTGCCCCCAACATCACTTCACGCAAATCTTCAACATCAGCTCGTTTTGCCCACCCCTTCCAGTGCGAAAAACCATCTGACCGGAGGCAGTTCCAATTGCCGCGACCCTGGTAGAACAAGGGGAGGGGGCCTTTTTGGAGCTGACTGTTTTCAGTGGGAACACCCACCAAACAAAAGTTGGCCAACGGATGTTGCCGAACCGAAGGCAACCACTGCGGGCGGGGCGGCATTTTCCCGACCGCCAAGAGGTACTTGGCCACGAAGACGTTGGGCGCCAGCGTGATCATGTTCTGCTCGCCGCAGCCTGCAAGTTGGCCATCAAAAGCCAAATCGTACCCCCAGTGAACATCCCAATCATCACGAAAATAGTTCTAAAATCGGTGGTGCACCAACCCAAAATGGGATCCCATTGGCTTTGACCCACAGCCAGTTAACAAAGAACATCTCCACAAATTCCCAAAACTCGTGAGTACCTTTGAGACAAACGGCATCCAAAACGGGCACCCCCCCCCGCGTGTTGCCAGCTCTGAGAACGAAACTCGGGACAAATCCAATCTCTGGATGGCCCTTTCTGCAGATTCTGTGCCAAGGTCATGAGGGCACCCTCTTGAGGTGGTTTTAAAAGAATTCCAAAGGGACACAACCCGTTTTCGGACTCTCCCTATTCCTTTAACGCATTTCTACAGGAAACCCGCGCGGAAACCGCCGAAGGGCGGAAAAGCGCCTGTGGGGATCCGCAGTAAGCGCTCAAGGCCGGAGATGGTGGGGCCCAAAAGGTCACCCACCACGGAGACCTCAGGTTCCATGCGGTCTGGGAATGGCTGATGCAGAGTTGCTGTGGATATTGTGTGTCAAGGCGAGTAAAACAAAATCTGGAGTAAGTACCTCCCGTCTGACCTTTGACTCCATGTTTGATTCAGTAAAGTTGGAGCCCTCTACTGAGCTAGCCCTCTGAGTTCCTTTCTATTCCGAGGTCAAAAGGCACCTTCTTGTTGGTCGAGTTGCCGCCCAAATCCAATTTGCTGGTTCTGCGAAAACGAGGTGATGAACCCACTAATCTTATGACTTACAACCTGGTTGCCCTCACTCCCAAGTTGGCCTCAATGGGTGCTCCCTAGCCCCCCCCACCGTTGCAGTCAGTCGGTGTTTAAAAGCAAACCAAAAATTCACACAATTGTTTAGAGATCCCTTTGCCCCGGCTCCTTTTCATGTAGCGCGTGGGGGACTCTGAAGTGGACTCAAGTATACCCAAACATCCCTGAAATTCGGATCACCCATGTATCTCAATTGGACTCAATGGGCCATGGGAGGATTCAAAGTTGAAGTGTTTCAATTGGACTCAATGAGAGGATTCAAAGTTGAACTGTTCGTATTCTCCATTGGACTCACCCATGTCTCCGCTGAGAAGCCAGCCTCTCCCGCGCCCACTCCCTCGGCCCTCCCCTCTGCCGCTGTCCAAAGGGCCGCAAGCCGTGCGGAGTCCGGGACCGCCATCTCGGGCAGGGACAAGGTCTTTGTCTCCGAGAAGGCGTCGGTGCCTGAGGCTGGAGGCGCTTAGCAGGCAGCCTGGAAAATTCGGCCAACCCTTTGTGGGAAATCACCTCTGCTTCACAACCCTTGGCGCAGCCACCTACACAAAACTGAACAGAACCCAAGAAAAAACAACCAAAAAGCAACTAACTTGCCAAGAACAGTGAAGCTTCTTTGTAATGTTGACTCCAAATGAATCAACCCCGGTTTGTGAAAATATGAGGGAGTGTTCCCCTCAAGTGGCCTGAATCCGCACATGTCACCCAACAAAACCCCTCTATTCATGAACTGGGGTTGATTTATCCGGGGTCGACTTTAACCTCTGTGATACATGGGTCATTCCATTGTGAAGGGATTCCCTTGGTACCATAGGTCCTAAAAACAAGTTTCACGCAACCAAAGGCACGGAGAATCTAGGATGCAAAACGGGAGCCTGGCTTCTAATGGAAAATTTGGGGAACGGGCACACCATGTCACCCCAACCAACAATCTGTCCACTCGAGTAACGGACCTTCAGTATGAGTGAGCCAGTATTACCCAGGTGACCTCATCATAAGCTCTGCATCTGAAACGGAAGGCACTTATGATGCAACTTGCAGGTTTATCAAATGACAACAGAGTAGGCCAACAAGAACACATTATGACCCCTGTGCCAACATCGCGAATTGGTTCTTGTTTCATGATGTGCTGATTGGGACAAATGCAGAACTCCTGAAGGTTGAGGGTCCCACCAATAGCCTTCAAGCGCAGCACATTGATCCAGCCGCATCCATGGGATGTTGGCACATCTTGAGCCATACCACACACTTGCGTGTCGGATGCGGAAGCATGCTATTTCCGCCTGTAGACAAGGTTAAATATACACAGCAACACGGTCCACGGCTGTTTTCGGGGGGTTGTCTGTGGTTGCTTGAAGCTTGATCAGCAGCCAACGTCATCGTCTTGCGGTTCTACGTGGGTGGGCCTTCGCACACAAATGTTCAGTCAAACCAAGGGCCCTGCCACTTGAACAAAACTTGCTGGTGCTCAGTAGGGAATGTGGGAATGAACCCAGGAGTCCCCTCAAAGGAAACAACAAGGGATGGTTTATAAGGGTCGTTCCCTCATTCCCTGCTGAAATCCAGCAAGAACATGTCCCATGGTAACCGGAATCTCACCCAATGTTTCCACGCCTGTGAGGTCCACCACGATGCTCTTGGTGTCGCTCATCGGGATGCCCTCGGTCGATCTCCATTTTGGGGCACCCCACCAATTTAGCGAAACGTAAAAAACAACCTGCCCTTGTTGGTGTCTGGCATTTGTCCTTACTCCACACTAAAAACCATCAAGAAGCATGAACAAGTGGCATTCCTGGCTACAATCTTTGCTCTTTGGGGATCACCGCTCCAAAAAAAATAGCCATGGTGTGCCAAGGTCTGTTTTTGTTCTTTGTTGGCTTTTTGATCTAGAGGAAATATTGCGTAACGTTTCCCACATGTTGCGCAAGATGGTGGCCAACATTTGGCAAGCAAACCAAACGACACAAAACCAACAACACAATCCAAAAACCCAAAATCCAAAAGTACAAACATGACAATCCTAGCCCCCTCCCCCCCACCATGGCAGGAAAGTTGTTCTTCTTGTTGTTGTGTTGGCCGAGCGCAACAACTGACCGTGGAATGAATACGTTAACCCACCCCATGGCCTACTTCTTTAGCAGCCATGGGCCATGGCCCGTGTTTGGGGTTGCTGTGATGCCGGAGTCTCTTGGAGCCAAGCTCAACATGTATAGAAAGCCAGGTATGCAAAAAGAAAACGTCTCTGAGGTCCATATGATTTGCCCAAAGCTGGCAACCTCTTTTCCATAAACCTTATACTTCCCCTGACACCAGTCATGGAAGCAGCACTAGGTTACCAGTTCAGTCAAGCAGCTACGGTTCTTAGAGTGTGGGGCGCCTTGCCATGGTTGTGTTGGCGGTTAAGAGCCCGAAACAAGCGAGCACTAACCAGTTAGACAGCCAGCCAGCCAGCCAGCCAACCAACCAACCCAGCATGGTAACAAGCATGCAACAAATGAACAAAACAAAACAACATAGTACAAGCAAGCAAGCAAGCAAACAACCAAACAACTCACAAACAAGCAAACGAATCCACCAGCCAACCAGCCAACCGACCAAAGAACTAACCAATCAACCAACAACCAACCCAACTAACCAATCAACCAACAACCAACCAACTAAACAAAGAAACCAGCCGAAAAACAAATCAACCAACAGGCAAGCAAACGCACAAACAAAAACATGGGAAGACAGAAGCAACGAAACACAGGAACAAAGAAAGTAAAGAAAGAAAGAAAGAAAGAAAGAAAGAAAGAAAGAAAGAAAGAAAGAAAGGAAGGAAGGAAAAACAACGAAATACAATAAAGAAATAAACAGAGAAACAATGACACCAACAAACAAAGAAGCAAACTTATTTATTCAATCAAGCAACAACAAAACAACGAAAACAAACAAAGAAACACAGAACCAATAGACAAGCAAGCAAGCAAGCAAGCAAGCAGGCAAGCAAGCAAGCAGACAAGCAAGCAAGCAGGCAAGCAAGCAAGCAAAAAAGCACCAACAAGCAACAAAAGAATACATACAAAAGCAAGCACGCAAACAACACAAAACTGAAATAAAGACACAAAGCAAAACAAACACACCAAACCGAAACAAGAAGCAAAAGCAACAACCCCAACCAAACAAGCGAGCAAGCAAGCAAGCAAACAAGCAATCAGACAAACCAACAAACAAGCAAGCGAGCAAGCAAGCGGACAAGCACACAAGCCAGCAAGCGAGACAGCGAGCGAGCCAGCGAGCAAAGCAAACAAGCGAGCAAGCAAGCAAACAAGCAAGCACGCACACACGCATAAAATCAGGCAAAGACACGAAGCAAACAAAGAAGCAAATATAAAATCCAACCCAAACACACACACACAAACACGCAACCAAACAAAAATGCCAACCGAACCAACCAAACCAACCAAACCAAAACAACCAACCAACTAAGCAAACAAATACACACACAAACAACAGGAGAGAACGGAACAGACAGACAACAACCACAACAAAAACGACAACAACGAGAACGCAAACAAACAACACAAACTACAAAATAACAAGACACACCGCACAAACGACGCATACAAACCACAAACAACACACAAACGCCTAACGTACATAACACACAACCGTCACAAACAACACCAATAAGACAAACAAACAACACACAAACATCGCGCACAACACAAAAACGCCACAGAACACACACACACACGCAAAACACACACAACAGACAACTTTCACACTCAAATCTTACACACAACACACACACACACACGGCACACACACACACACAACACACACACACAACACACAACACTCACACATAACACTAAACAACACAACATAGTCATAAGCAACAGCACAAACAAACGCCACCACTCACATTACACAAAGAATACACGCACAAACCAAACACACACACACAGACACAAAAAAACACACACACACACACACCCATGCACACGACACAAACAACATACACAACAACTAGCACACACACACACACACGCGTAAACAGATAACCACACAGAAGATGCACAATGCACAAACACAAAGTTGAATACACAACACGCATGAACAAAAGCGAGCAAACAAGACAAACAAAGAAACAGCAACACACACACACAGAGAAACAAAACAAGGACTGATATTGACCTTATGTTAAAACCATGATGCTCGCGTGGGGGTGGCACAAAACAACAACAACAACAACAACAACAACAACAACAACAACAACAACAACAACAACAACAACAACAACAACAACAACAACAGAACAACAACAACAACAACAACAACAACAACAACAACAACAACAACAACAACAACAACAACAACAACAACAACAACAACAACAACAACAACAACAACAACAACAACAACAACAACAACAACAACAACAACAACAACAACAACAACAACAACAACAACAACAACAACAACAACAACAACAACAACAACAACAACAACAACAACAACAACAACAACAACAACAACAACAACAACAACAACAACAACAACAACAACAACAACAACAACAACAACAACAACAACAACAACAACAACAACAACAACAACAACAACAACAACAACAACAACAACAACAACAACAACAACAACAACAACAACAACAACAACAACAACAACAACAACAACAACAACAACAACAACAACAACAACAACAACAACAACAAACAACAACAACAACAACAACAACAACAACAACAACAACAACAACAACAACAACAACAACAACAACAACAACAACAACAACAACAAACAACAACAACAACAACAACAACAACAACAACAACAACAACAACAACAACAACAACAACAACAACAACAACAACAACAACAACAACAACAACAACAACAACAACAACAACAACAACAACAACAACAACAACAACAACAACAACAAAACAACAAACAACAAACAACAAACAACAAACAACAAACAACAAACAACAAACAACAAACAACAAACAACAAACAACAAACAACAAACAACAAACAACAAACAACAAACAACAAACAACAAACAACAAACAACAAACAACAAACAACACAAACAACCAGCCCACACAAACCAAAACACATCGTAGACAACACAAACGTAGACAACGCACACAGCGCGCACACACGCGCAGGAGTCCTTGCGGGACGCCATGGCGCCGCGCCGCGCCACGGCGCTGCGGCGGATGTCCTCCACCGCCCAGGCGTGGAAGGCTCCCAGAGGCTCCAAAATCCCCGTGCCGCGCGGCTTCTTTTGGAGCGTTTTTTTTGTTTTGTTTTCCCCATTTTTTCCGGGGGTTAGTGGGTTTAGTGTGTTGTATTGAGGTGTTAGGTTTGTTTGTGTGCTGAAGGGTTTTTTAGATGTTTGTTTTGGAAGTGTTTAGGTCGGCTTGGTGGTTGAGTGGCTTGTTTGGGTTTAGTGGGTTTTTGGTTGTTTAGGTGTATGTCTTAGTGGTTTTTAAACGTTTTTGGATATTTCCGTTTTACCAACAAGTTGAACATTTCGCAGGGGATCGGTTTGGACAGCCCCGTTTATTCGCCAAAGTCCAAGTTGACAAGCAATGAAGGGGCATGGGGAGACCAACATGTTTTTTTTGTTTCTCTGGGAACCCGTTTTTTGGTTCGCTTGAAAGGGAAACCCACCAAGCCAAACACCAATGAACTAGGGGTAGGTGTCTTTGTACATCGATGGCGATTCTTGGTTGGCCTGGTCCTTTTGCCAATTGCCATCTTTTTTCAGTCAAAAGGACATGGCTAGGAGTTCACATGGAAGCGAAGACCATTTTGGGAGGGCCCAAATGGAGGTGTTTGACATGGGGATCTGTACCTTGTTTTTTTGAACAATCCGCAGAAAAGAGGCAGATGCTCGCAGATGCTCCTCGTAATTTCCTTATGTAAATGTCCTTTCCTGGGTTGCGGAACCAATCCACAAGATCATGCGAGACGGATTACGTGCTTGCACCTGTTGTAAGGGTGTCCCACTAAGGATTGTGGATTATGCTCCTTTCAGAGCCCAAAATTCATTTACCCAGGTTGAGCTTGCTGGAATCAAAAGGTTCACTGGAATGGTGCTCACTGGATGGGTACCCCTCCGCCCAAATAAGCAGAAAACAAGGGAACATGAGCCCTAAACAAACCCAGTTGTTCAGTCACCTCAAAGTGGTATTCCTCTTGGAGGTTTGGACTCAAGCTTCCAAAGTAGCTTCCGCATTCTTTCCAGAAACCTAGACGCTGTGAGAAATGGCTGTCTTCACGCACATGGAATCAATGGGTTTGTCTCAAAGTGGTTGGAACTCCCTTTGGATGATTTCCTTTAAGAAAGCCCAGGCGATTTGTTCAAAGGAGAACTGGGCATACATAGGCTGATGGGTGTTTTCATGTAGACCTCACGTTTGAATGAATCCCTAAACTTGTCCAATGTGGAAATCGATAGGTTGTACCGGGTTCTGGGTACTAACGTACCGGGACCTAATTACTAGCCCAGTTAAACGGGAAGATGTTAGCCCAAAATCATCCCCCCGCACAGTGGAAGCCCCTAGATCGCCATTCCATCGAAGCGGCGATTTCTTTGATTCACTGAAAAATCGAAACATGAGCGGTCAATACCAAAGGAAATCCAGCATGTTTGCTTGGCGGTGCCCGATTTCTGGATACTCCTTTGGGATTTGCGAGGCCTGACACCATCGGCTGGTTTCCAAGTGTTTGCTCCAGAAAGGGCCGCTGCGCGCAGCAACAAAAATGCAGGATCCAGTCAACCTCCCCTTCCCCCCCCCCAAAAAGCAACCACTTGGAAGATGACAGCAAGACGCAAGGAAGGAGAAATTCCTGGCAGTTGAGTCCATGCTACAAAAAGGGACAGCATTATCTCCAAAAGATATCTGACGACACAATGGATGGTAAAGCTGGATTTCCCACATGTATGGGTCAAAATTAACCAGGATACCGCATGTAGCCCATGCTTCTATTTGCCAGGGTTCTATGTTGGGAACCGTATTTTTGACTCACAGCCACACAATGTATGGGTTATTGGCTGATAGTTGGGGAATGGAAGTCAATTGGAAAACCAGTTTGGGTGTCCATTCCCCAGATCGACATGCCCTGCACAATTGCCAAGAAGCAAGCACCCTGAGTCCGGAGCGCCCAAGTCAAGCGTAAATCTGCAGGTGGCACACCAGATGCAGGTGCTGGCATTTTGGCCGCATTTGCGCGCCAATCGATAAACACACCTAATAGGTAGTCTATAGTAACCACCTTGGGAGAGACATTGGGTGACTCACTATTGGGAGTGTTGGCGGTTGAGCTTGCGGTGCAAGCGAGGTTAACCAAGGCTCCCGACTACCCGAGCCTTCAAACCGGGTCTGTCTAAGATGTCGTTCACTACCCCCAAGCCACTACCTCTAGGGGTTTCTACGGGCTATACAACCACTACATGGCCGCTATGTAGAAGGTAGTTTTGCACTTTGCCTTTGGGGTTGGGTGGTGGTTTGAGGGGTCGGAGCCAGCGTTGTTTTGCCCTGTCCCTATGAGGGGCCTTTACTCGGGTCCGTGAGTGGGGGTTGATCGAAACTCCGATTTCTTGAAGGCATGGATTTCAGGTGTGGCTTGTGTTTTTTTGAGGGGACCCATGTTTTAAATGGAACCAACAAGAAAAAGCAACTGGGGGGGGGGGGGGGGGGGGGGGGTGGGGGGGGGGCGGGCAACTCAAAGACACACATAACACGACCCTCACCCGCCGGAAAAATCGCCGTTGGGTCACTGCTCGTGCTCCTGCTCTTTGTGGATGTGTCCAGGGGTGGCCCCACCAATTTCCCGCAAAAAAGCAGGGAAAACGAATCAAAGGGTTGATCCCCCATACTTTTCAACCCTCGTTCTTGTCGAAAACCCTGGGTTTCCGGAAGCTTTCTCGAAAGAAGGATCCCTGGAAAGAATGGAAATGGAAGGTAGCACTTGAAGTCTTCCAATGTGCTCTTGGGGAAGAGCCTATCATAGCCCCCCCCTGCTTGCAAGGTGCTGGGGTAGAACAAGATCCCTTTCGGTGTTGGGTACCGTTGGGTCCCTAAGTAGATAGTTCGATAGATACGCAAACACGTGAACGAAACAATCGATGCACAAAGAAGCCGATACGCAAACACATAGAGAAGAAGAACACATATAATGACAAACATATCAATTAGATAAACTGTTGAAATATATGCACATGAAGCGAAGACGCAACATGAAAAATCAGTGACACCAGGGTGAAAGGAGCTGGCAGAGTTTCCTATCTGCAGAGGGATGTCTAAACCATGTAATTGCGGCATCTACTTGTACTCCCCAACTTAAGATTGCTTTCCCAACAAAAGGGTTTCTGGGTTCCATGTTAATTTGCAACCCTCTTTTGTGCGAAGAGTATATAAACCTCTAGTAGTTCTTCAGCCCCTTACTCTCCTACAAATCATCATGGAGCCCAAAGGGGGCGTCCATTTCTTAGGAGGTTCCTCCATGGGAGTTTCTGGGTTCCTTTCGTTGTGCCTGAGGACATCGACGGCGACACGGAGTTTCTGACGCAGGGGGTGGGTGATGAGCGCACTCACGAGCTGATGAAGGCGGACAAAATACAAGCTTGGTGGCGCAACCAGCCATGCGGTTCCAGAAAGCTTTTTAGATCCTTTTAGCGTTTAGTGGTAGTTTCCGAATTTAACCCACCAGTTGAACTTTCAGGGGATCGGTTTGGACAGCCCAACAAAATGTCGCGGTGGCACTCCCTGAGTTCCGTTTCGGACTTGAGTCGCGCTTGCGGTTCGGACCATGTAGTTCGGCTACTTTTTTTGGCCCATCCACTCGATCGGAAGGAGGGTTCAACCAAAGGACAGCTTCATTTGCGGCGTCCGATTTTGACATAGACCGATTCACGGCCAAAGGGGAGCCATTGCAGCCATTTGTGTCTAGCTCTACCTGGCTTCCTAGGATTTCACCTGTTCTTCCCCCCTCTTGACCCCTTTTTGGAAAACCTTTTAGCACGCTTTCGTATTCAACGGGGTGGATCCACAGATTCGCCACGTCCACCGCATCAGTTCCTGGAGGTGATGCTTGAAGATCATTTGTGTGGCAACGAGCTTCGGACTTCTTGGCCAAAGATGTGTGGGAAGCATCCACCGGGGCGTTTTTGTGATGCTTCACATATATCTTGGTCGAGTGGATCCCGGTCCGAAGCCTCGTTCCGGAAGGGATCCGGCTTTGGTCCCTGGGGTTCCGATGAAACAATTGCTAAACACAAGTTGGATGAAACTGAGCAAAAAAAGAAGTAAGTACTAGGTGGTTACTAGGCACTACTTTCTGACTACCCCAGGGGTAGACTTAATTCCAGGGATGGTTCACTACCCCCAAAGGGTTAAATCCTGTTTGAAGTGGACTGTTCGGGCATTGATTTCATCATGGTTGTTGTTGGGACACATGTTTCCCGGTTTTGCTTCTTGTGGTTTAGTGGTTGAAATCCAACCACTTAACTGCTAAAATTTAAATTTTCGCTCCCCAAACCCAACGCCAACCAAGTCATGGTTGAACGACCTGCCAACTTGGGGGTTCCAGGGATCCTTGTAGACAGATGCTACCGATGGACGAAATCCGCTTCTCGCACCACCGTTCAGAAGCGTTGGTTTCTGATGATTGCCAGGTACATACCAACAAACAATGGTGTCAACCATGGTTTCCAAGCGGTGCACGATTTCGTCCATTCACAGTATTAATCAAGTAAGTGATGAACAAGCTGTTCCATGATTAGACTTGGGCCCCAGTTATAGAATCCCGGATATAGTCTATTGTTTGGGCCATTTGAGTGGGACCTTTTTTGGACCATTTTTTGTCACACCCCATTTTACCAGGCGGTTGTATGGTGTTTGGTGGTTTTCATCTTGGGCTCTGGCGGCCATTTGGCACAATACCACCACCAAGTCCCCACTCTTGGAGGGGACACTAGAAACCCAGCTGTGGTTGTGTTTGTTTGTTTGCTTTTGTTTTTTCTTTCGAGGCTTTGTTTGTTTGTTTGTTTGTTTGCTTGCTTGCTTGTTTGTTTGTTTGTTTTCTGTTTTCTTTCGAGGCCTTGTTTCTTCCTTCGTGCTTTTTGAGGCCAGGCTACGGCTTGAAGCAAAACGAAGGCCAACCATGCCGAATGTCCAGGCGGCCATGGCGCAGATGCGGGGCAAGGTGAAGGACTCGGAGCAGCTGCAGAGCCAGCGCCCTGACTCGAGGTCCTGCCGCCGCGGAGCCGAGCGGCCGAAAGCCGAGCTTTCGGCCGGCCGGCCGGGGTGAAGACCTACCATTTTTAACAAAACCCAGAGGGTAGGTTGGTTCGGATGGGAGGAGAGGGTAGGTGGATTTTGGGGGGGAGTTGGTTTGGAAGCTCATCTTCTGGTTGGAAGTCACCAAGGAAGCCAATTTTGGAGTTGGAAGCCCCAGCTTGGTTCGTTTTGGGAAGTCACACAGAGGGTATGTTGGTGGAGGGCATAGGTGTCCTTTTTGGTTGATTTGGTGGAGAAAAAACATCGGGCGATTCCTTGTTTACCTGGTGTTTCAAGCGACTATTATCAGGGCCATCTATTTTCCCAAAAAGGACACCTATGCAGAGGCGTGTGTCATTTTTTTGGAGTCGGAAGCCCCAACTGGGTTGGTTTGGGGAAGTCAACAAGGAAAACCACATATATATTTTTTTGGGGGGGGCCAACATCGTGTAGTGGTTGTGTTGTTGTTGGGGGCACAATTTGTGACGTTGGGTTTACAGGAAACTCACCGGAATTCCCATTTTGGGGGTCACTATGTCCTCACACATCAAGGGTTGGCCGGGTGAAAAACCTACCATCTGGGGGTCTCTTACTTTCGGTGTGAAACTTTCGGTGTGAACCACGGTGTTGGGTGACTTTTTCCCACGTGGTTGAGATGTCATTATCTTTTGAGTGGGCTTTTTTGGCTTTGGAAGCCCCGACTTGGCAGTTGAAATCTAAGGGAAGCCGAAGCGGAAGGGAGACAAACCTGGCCCAAAACCTGTACCCACCAATTCGGTGGCCCTTTTTTTGGCTTGGTCGGCCCACTTCCTCCTTTGTCTCATGCGCTCCCAAGCCGCCCCCCCCCCCCCCGCCCCCATCGTTTGGGTCGCCGTTTGCGTCGACTCCCTGAAAGAGCCGAGGATCTGCCAAGCGGACCAACGGCTCACAGAGCGCAGCCACATGACCCAGTGGCTGATGAAGCCCTTCGCGCGCGGGCTGTGCCTGCGCATCCACGTGGCCCCTTGGGCCGCATTTCCATTGAGCGCAGTTCGCTTGGCGCAAAACCAGCCATCCGGTTCCGCGGAAAGCTTTTTAGGTGGCTTTCGTTGGTTTTTGTGGTTGGGGTTCCGAAATTATCCCACTAAAAGCAGGGGCATCTGAGGACAGCCCAGCTGCCAAAGAAAGCCTCAGCGCCCCAAAGCGGGGTTTGGCGGTTTGGGGTTGAGGCAATCAATCAAACAGCACCCAGGTGGCGAGTTCAGATTCCAAAGCCGGAAACCCAGGCCTCTCGGTTGGCCTTTGGGCGCCAAGTGCAACAGAGGACATCAACAGAGGATGGATAGTTGTGGACATTGACCCCCTGTTTTGCACCCGAGTTACGTTGGCAACCATCGTTTTTGGGGGTCAGTCTTTGTTCTGAGGTAAGATGTGGGTTCCTTCGCAGCCTTCTCTCGTGCTTCTCGTTGTCGTCCACCAAGTTGTGAGAAGTCCGGAGGGCTTTTCAGTTGGCCCCCCCACGCTTGATTCGTGGTGGGGGTATACATGATTTGGCTGGCATACGGGGTGGAACCTAAACTGCTATTAAAGTTTCAAAATGATGGACCCACAAATCCTGCACCATGCTAAGAACCCTGGTTCACTAACATCCCCAATGAAAAATACCAACAAAGGTTATGGTTTCAACCATGGCTTCTTAGATGGTGCGAAATCGTTTTAGTCCATGCACATGATGTGTATTCCACTCTTGTTCAAACGTAGTTTCCCTCGGAACCATGGACCAGGTGTTGGTTGTTACAAACCTTGCCACCAAACCCAAAGCTTCGGTTGACCCGCGGTTCAATCCACGACCCTTTTCGGTTGTTTTGCACCCTCGAGGTCATGCCATGGGCTACATCTTCTCCCCCGTGGGCGAGACCTTGCTGAAGAGCATGGACGTGCGCCGCTCGACGCAGCCGTGAGCACCTGAACCGCAGAGCTCAGGGATCCCTCCGTGCCCACGTTTCGGAGCCGATACTTTAGTGGCGATCTTTTCAATGGGGATCCCACCAGTAAGTTGGTCAACTTTTAATTTGGGGAAATCCAGTGACCCCTGTCCAAACCCGCATGGTGGATGTGGTATCTTAAGAGCCCAGACCTCCAGTGGTGTCTCGTAATTTATGGTTGTTCCATTCTTTTTGGTTAGCAGGTTGCCATTTGAAATTCACCCCCTCCCCCAGACTAACATGGAGGCTCCCACCCTTTCGAAGACTGGGTTCGATGTAGTCCTTAGGGCTGCAGGTGGCCAATCTCGGGGTCCTGTGCCCCAAATGGAAGCCTCAACACAGGCATTGCACCCAAAGCCTTTCTCCAACTGTCTGTTCTTGTTTTTTTCCAGGGGCAGGCAACTGAAGAGATCCGGCGACTTTTCAGGAAGGGGTGGGCTTGAAGCCACTTTTCCAGTGAATGTGGGGCACCCTTTAAGCGCAGTATGGCCTTTTCTTGGGTAGCCGTTTCGCAGTGTATTTTCCTCACGGCTGGGCAGACTAGCTCAGGCCCCCTCCTGGCCTGCGGGGTCCTCTCTTGGATGGGACCCCCTGGACCGGTGCCAGTTGCATCACCTTCAAGCCAAACATTACTTTGATTGGACCTTTGATTTGACCCATGAACCTATTGGGCCAACTGTGAACCCATATCAAGATGGGACAGTGGGACACCATGATTTGTTGCTGCCGGTATTTTGTGGCTGGTCTAACCTGACTCGTTCAGGGGGAAGAACGACAAGTAGTGGTGGACACCAACAAATGCCTCGGGTTCCCTTCACCCGAAAAGGATAGCCTCCGAATGGCAACTCATGGGGGTTGTTTGGGGGGTTCTGGACCTTTTGGGTTTCGCCGCTCCGAAACCGACAAGACCGAACCTTGAGGTTGGGCAAGGTTTGTAACCAATACCTGGTCCATCCTGGTTCCTAAGGGAAAGGAACGTTACAAGAGCGGGTGAAACATACTGTGGATGGGCGAAATTCCTACAGGCCAGTTGGTATTTCCAGGGGAATCGAATCAGTTTCTGAACTGTGGAACCGTAAACCCAAGCCTGGATTCCGCATCCCGAAGGAAAAACCGAAGCACCGGAATTGGTGGCTTTAGTGCACCGGTCAAAAGAAAGCCCAAATGTCAAGGCACCCTGTGCTTAACAAGTCAGGTCAAGCACCGGGGGTGTTTTTAAAGCCCCCAGGGGGGGGTGTTTCTGTTGGTTTCCCTTTTAAACAACCACCAAAAAGGCGGGTGCAACTCTTAAAATTTGCTTCCGTCTGGTGGCGAGAAAGCCCAGCACACGTACTTGGTAAGGCGCGCGGTCCAACCCTTTCCCAAGCAAGCATCAGTCAAACGGCGTGCCTTTTTGGTCTCACCTCAAAACTACAAGGCTGTCTGTTTAGAGCAGGATAGGTCAGAACTCTGGGGAAACACCTCCCCAGTGGGAGCAATTGCAGATCATGATGGTAAGAGATGCAAGATGTTTTTCCAAGAACCTCTAGGAGCGATCCAATGCCTGAACAAGCTCTATGTCGGACCTATTTGTTTGAGGGCACAAGAAATGAGCGATGGAAGAGCGAACAAAGAGCCGTGTCAAGAGTCCATTTGTTAGTAGTTGATCAATGGAAGCGGTAGAAAGGGTTGAGACTGATAAAAATGTTCGCGGCCCTTCCGCAGCGAATAAACTGCAGAAAAATGCCAATCAGCGATCAACATCCTGGCACAGCCTCTTCCTTCCCTTTCTGGCCTATCACGTCCCACTCATGGCTGTTTCTTGGGTTGAAACATCCACTCGCAGCAAAAAAAAAGCTGGGGGAAATTGCCGCCAATACCCAAAAACTCCCTTGGTGCCTGAGGCCCTGTGAAAAGAGAGGCACCATTCAATCCAAAAGACATGTCAAGGGACTGTTTGGAGGTCACCCAAAGTATGTTTTATCATTCAATGGGATGGGCTGGACATCCCTTGCTTGTCGACAGGACGAAGGGCGTTTGCCCTTGCACAGCCCCTGCAATTGCGTGTGCCTGTTTGAGGTTACCCCATTTTGTGGTTTTAAAGAACAACCAAAAGGAACACCATAGTCCCCTAACAAAGGACGCATTCGGACACGGACACACGGACACGGACACGGACACGGACACGGACACGGACACGGACACGGACACGGACACAGACACAGACAGACACAGACAGACACACACACACACACACCCACACACACACACACACCACACACCCACACACACCCACACACACACACCCACACACACCCACAACACACCCACGCACCCACGCACCCACGCACCCACGCACCCACGCACGCACGCACGCACCACCACGCACCCACGCACCCACGCACCCACGCACCCACACACCCACAAAACACGCACCCACGCACCCACGGCACCCACACACACCCACACACCCACACACCCACACCCACACCCACACCCACACCCACACCCACACCCACACCCACACCCACACCCACACCCACACCCACACCCACACCCACACCACACCACACACGCACACGCGCACGAGTCCTGTATTCAGGAACTTTCACCTTAGGCAAGGACCAGAAGCGACATAGGAATCAAGATCCAGCTTGTGGTTTTTGTTTTTCATTTTTGTGCAGACTAGTTTTGGGAAGAGTGCGTTTCTTTCATGAGAAAATCTGAGCCCCGGATTCTGGGCAAATTGGACTCTTGAATCAAGTTTTTTTTTTTCAGGATCCCTGCCTGCCAACAGAGATTGCACCAGGCCATTTCTTAGGGCTTTCGGCCGGGCTCAAATCGACACGTTAAATAAGTCCCCGTCTCGATTCTGAGAAGAGTTTGGTGGGTGAGAGAAGCCTTTTGAGTTGTACATGTGACGTTTGGACATCATAGTTTTCAGGTAGGTTTTTGCCAGCCGTTGCTTGGACCCGTGATTTAAGTCTTCTCACTTCCTGAGTTCCTGGACTTTAGAGTCACTTGTTGGGTGACCATTTGAGTGGCTTGCGCAAAAAGTTTGGATACTCTCGGCTAACCCACTCAAGTAAGTGTTAGTTCCCATGTTTCGATTTACCAATCCGGCAAGCCAGTTTGGTCGCTGTGTCCGACCAATCCACTCGATCGGAAAAAATCGCAAGCGGCGATCTTTATTCGCAGGCTGGGCTGCCTCTTCTGGCTGTTCCTCTCCCGCGGCATCCCGCCGAACCTCCTCATGGCCAGTGGCTCGACCTTGACTCCAGCCAAAAACGGAGCCCCGAGCGGGACAAACAAGCCACCAGCACTTGGCAATTGTAGACCGTTCTAGTGAGCATCTTCAACCCACAGAGGTAACTTATAACTCCGACAACCCCTGGGTGCCAGGTAGATTGAACGCCTTTTTGGACTTGGGCAGACAAAGGAACCGGGTTGCAAGGGCTTGGCAAAAAATGTGTGCGCCTCTGGTCATCGAAAAGCGGGGGGGATTTCACCATAGGACAGGTACATTTTGAGGGTTCTGGGTTCCAGATCAAAGTCCGTGGCATCCAAGGTTAAAAGGATCGCCGATGAGTCTTGTCAGTCAAAGGAATCCAGGCCAAATGCCCAACGGACACAAGTGCTAGCGCCCACCTTCGGGCGGAGGGGCCGGGGCCCCAATTTTTCGTTCGTCCGCTGGAATTGGACTCAGGCTCGCAGCTGCTGAACATCGTGTTCTTCGGTTGGTGCCCTCCCTGCCAGGACCGCCATGTCAATTGCCGCGGGTGAGTGGAAGGCCACGGCATGTCAAGTATGCCGAAAGTACCTGACGGAAGAATCCAGGGAAAGTAGGTGGCGCAGCGTTCATGGCCAAGGGGATGTTCCATCCTGAGCATCGTGCATCTACTTTCACGCTCCACAAAAGAGTACAGCTGCTGCCGCACAGCAATCCGAAAAGGCCACCGAAACGACGTCCACCAAAGGGGCCCCATTGGAATCGATACTTTAGAAGCCCTTCAGGTTAGTTGAAGGAAAAGGATACATCTCCAATATCAACTTCGGATTGATCAGTCTGGAGAGCCCTTCACTCCCAAAATCGACCAGCGCTTGATTCTGTTTTTGTCGCTCGGTTCCCTTCGCCGGCCGGGCCCATCTAGCCGGTGTCCAATGGGTTCCGGAGAAACCGGGGTCCCTCAGTTCCCTTCTTTGGACCTCCAAAAGTGGGGATCGGCGCAAGAAAACCCAGTCAATGGATCAGCCTTTGGGGAACCCCGGTGACCCACACGATAAATGGGTGTGGCTCGAAATTAAAGAGGGGCCGGGTTTTCGTCTTTGGATTTACCAAGGTGCCATCCGGTGAGCCACAGCCAAATGAGTACCACACGAGATGCTTCGGACGGCGCAGATCAAGGACCATCGGACCACATGGATATCACAGGCCCCGCACGAAAAGCAACCCCCAGTGACTGGGGGACAAGTAGCTTTGCGCAACCCAGATGGAACCCTGAAAAAAAAAGATGGAGAATGTGGCGTGAAGTGCCTGTTGGCGTCGCAGTCAACCTTCCAGTGCTGTTGCAACACGCATGCCGGTGAACCCGTGATCAATGCCCTCACAAACTGATAGGTGCAAGTGCCAACCTGACACCGGAATTGGCACTGATCAATCACCAGGGCTTGGAGGCATAGTGGTCATTCAATGGGAGATGTCCAAGCGCAATTTCTCCAATTCGTGCCACCACCATGACTCCTGAACTAAATCGGCGGCGAATGAGGCGGCCCCCCCCCCCCCGCGAACACGTCCCCAAACCCCGACAGGGGCGGGGAGAACCGAGGCGGATTCGGATTTCGCCCGGCATGAGGTACCCCAACCCCGGAGGCTCGAAATGGGGGCAAATGTTGAGGATCTAAGTAGAACCCGTGCCATTACCTGGGGGGGTTCCCTCCAAAAGAGGTCTGAATCCAACCACTAAAAGGAATTGGACACC